ACATAAATCATTAATTTTTGATATCTGATAACTAACTTCTGAACCATATAAAATTGAATCCATAAAGCATGTAATGCATCAAAATCTACAATTAGAATTTAAATGCAGCAAAGTAAATTAATTAGAAGTTTGAAACTATTTGAGCATTAATTCTGAATTGCATTAGCAAAGAAAATGTACGGATTCGGTGAGTTCTAACGCAATTATACTCTAGCTTATGTCTTTATCATAAATGCTAATGAAATTATAAGGTGAGTTAAAAGCTTTCACGATGCAAGCTTTTGTCATCATACTTCTGAATACAAATACATACACAAATATATATTATACATAATATATATGTATTATGTATGTATGTATAATGTTCAGGAATTAATTAGTAAATAGACTTTGGTAAATGCTGATGGGTTAAATTGTGAAACAAATAGCCCCTACCGAACTACCGATTATGTTGCCATAGAAAATGGGTTTTTTATTTCGATTTATTATATTGTCCATTAATTTTGGCATCGAAAACGCATGTTCAAGGACCATTAATTGAAATATTGCCAAAATTAAATAACTCCTCTTAGATAAAATTGTATCTAAGTGTACAGATGTTGCAAACTAACGGCATAATTGCTTTTTGAACTACTAAATAAGAAAAAAAGAAAGTATGTCCTAATTTTGCTATATGATTCTTTGAATATTTCTTTCAGTTGCTAACTAATGGCATTAATCATTTTTAATATCTTCATTTTAAAATGTTTATTTTTTCTAATATTTCAAGGATAAAGCACCAACTGCAAGATCACTTTACTTTTTTAGCTGTGTTATGTTTTATTTAGCCTACTCGTATATAAGTTAATTAAAAATTATTTGGATCCTAAAATAAATTCGAAGTATGTATGTATGAGAAAAGGGTCAATAATTAATTGCACGAATAGAAGATAAATGCAACCGAATCTATTGAGGGAAAAAATAAATTATGTCCTAATTTTTTCTGTAATTTTTTTAGCTGATGGAGTTCGAGAGTTCAATTCACTTTTCTAACTCTTCTATGTATATGTTAATTTGTCTACTGTTATTTAGTTAACGACAAAATATTGGAAACATTATGCATTTCATAAATTACTTTGCATTTTAAAATAAATTTTAAGTATGTAAATATAATAAAAAAAACATTAATTATTAGCACAAGTAAAAACAGGTGCGAAAAAATCTCAATCAATCGAGGAAAAAACTAGCTGTAAGTGGAATTCTGTCTTAAGGCAATTAAGGCATCGTGCCTTAAGGCAAATTGCTGGAACTTCCCGTACCAAAAATTATTATTTTTTTAACATTTTTGAAAAAATTTTACTTCAAAAAAATAAGATTTTTGAGAAACTATAAATTGGACAAAAAATTACTTTTTTTTGAAAAAAAATTTTTTTTGAAAAAAAAAAAAAATTTTAATTTTTTTTTTTGAAAAAAAAATTTTTTTTTATTTATTTTGACATATTGTGGAAGATCTGAACTTTCTTTTCAAAGCAATCGTACTGCTTTAACTGCATAAAGACGAAATATCAAACCGCGTAAGCGCCGCGTCGACGTCTAACGCGTCAACATTGGTACGGAACCCATAGGAATGTAAACCAAAATTATACTTATTGTTAAAATCTCTATAAAATATCTGATAATTTGATGTGCATATGTCTAATAATCATTTTTGACCGCCAAATGGCTCATTTTTTTACTTTTTCCTCCATATCTCCGAAACCGCTAGACCTACCTTCATGAAAATTTTATCGATTCTTCATCTTGTCAATACAAGTAAAATGTTTTTTGAATTATTCAAATCGGACGCTGCGTTCTCTTAAAAACTGAGTTACCGTTTTCGGCACTTTTTGCCCCGTATCTTTGGAACGGCTAGACCTGCCTTCGCCAAAAACTAATCAGCACGTCTCCTTATCAATACGAATCGAATGTTTTTTGAATTATTCAAATCGGTTGATCCGTGTTCCCGAAATCGTCGACGAAAATTTGTATCCGCACATACATACACACACATACATACATACACACACACATACACACACACACACACACACACACACACATACATCCATTTTTTCTAAGGTATGCCAAAATGTTCAGAAACCTCTGAAACGTAAAGATATATAAAAATTTTCATTTTTGATTTTTTTGCGATTACTATAACTTGCCCTACGGGAAGTTAATAATCTATCCTAATTATTTTCTGTGATTTTTTGAGGTTGATGGAGCAACAAGAGTCTCTACTTTTCTAACTGTTTTATGTATATTTATTATTTTCTTTGCTCGTATATTGAATAATTAAAGATATTGGAATTATTATGTACTGTACAAATTACTATGCATGTTCAAATAAATTGAAGTACGTATCAAGACAAATTTATAAATAATTTATTGCATGAGTAACATAGTGACTGCAAATAAATCTCAATAAATGGAGAGATCATAATTGGAAACTTCATGAAGATAAAAAATACTACTTATATAACTATTACTGAAAAATACTACTAATATGAATATTACAAATATTAAAAGCTTTGATTTATGAAATAGAAAAGATTCAAAAAGGCACTTGTGAAAATAACCAAACCAGTGTTTTTACAAATTTCATTTATTGCCCTGCAATTTAATATTAATCACAGTAGATAGATGTTAGAGTAGTTACTAAAGAACGAAGAACAAGACATCAACGTATTTATTACGAAGTTAGAATTTGTTATAATTTATCTAAATTAATTAGCATAGATTCAAAATAACGACATTGTATACATTTGTCCAATTTATCGAATTTCAAAGCTCGCAGTCGGTTAAAGCTTAATACTGTTAAGTTATGTAAGAATGATTAAAACGACTTAATTGAAATTAATTTCTGCACATAATTAAATTTATAATAGGTATGATCGTTAAGAGTATTGATACATGTGTGTAATCATGGTTTAATTAATTATATAAAATATTTATATGTAAAGAAGTATCATGATTCAGCATATTATTTCGAATCCAAACAAAGGATTTCTCAAAGTTACCGCCCTTCAACTTTAATTAATAATTAATTCAGGATCAGGAATAGTTCATATGTAAGGCATTATCTTAAAATTGTAAAAATGTATAATATTACATATAACAAGAAAATTTCCATTCGTTCACGAGTTTGCAGAATTTTCAATGACACGACTCTATGTGAATGACTATAATGAGATACAATGATTACAGTTGATGATCAGATAGAGACACAGTAATACAGAGATATGGATAAATACAGCAGGAAGATGAAATACACCTATTTATAGAATAATAGCGACACGAATATTGAAACACCGACAAATTACAGGTAATATATGTTGCTCTACAATGTCTATTAATTACAAAAAAATTTTGTATCGAACCTGTGATTTTTTTCAGATTTTTGGATACGCGGTTGCTGATTTTACAGCCTTACATGAAGTTTGCTATAAAAATAAAAATAAACGATATGAAAATATCAATAAACAAAATTAACTTAATTATTTCAACATAAACAATAGTTTAACAAAATTCAAAAATATTTCGATTGATTGAACAACTTTCTAGAGCAAATTATTATTTTTGTTATCAAGAAAAACGTGATTTCAAAATATTACACACACAAAAGCAAAATTTCAATAAAAAAAAGCATAAAATTACACCAGACCTGTATTGCTATAAAAAGATAGTTTGTTTTAAGTGGTCATTGCAAGTAAAAATACGGATGTTAAAATGTTTATTGAAATTGTTTCGAAAAATGACTAATGAATCATGTTGAACGTTTTTGACCACATTTTTTCTGATTTTAAATAAATCTCATCTTGGTGCACAATTGATCAAATCAAATAATAGGTTATTTAAGGGCAGTTTACATTGGCTGAATTTGGTCCTCATATTGAGCAGTTTGGTCAATACCGATAATTGAATGCAGTTTACTTAAATTTAATCAAAACTTTAAATAAATTACTTAAACCATTAAAGTGAAATTTTGTAATTTGTAAAATAAAACGCTTGCTAATATTGGTGTTATCAAATAACTGGCCATGGACACTGTTATTAAACTAACTATTTATAACAAGTCATGTCTGTATTACTAAATAAAGTAAAATAATAAGACAATTAGAAGTAGTATTTCAAACTATAAAAAATATTTTTAAAAGTTAACCAAAAGTTTAGTATATGTCCGAAATTCAAATATAACAAAAAAAAACTTTCAAAAACTAATTAAAATACTATATTTCTTAAAAGCACAGTATGTCTTTTTTGGAAAAAGTAGTAGTGTTGTTAGTAGCATGTTGTATTGTAACGATACAATATAGTATATGACCAAGGCGACATCGAGTAATGTGTGTAAAAATGAAGTGTAATTCGCGTCAATTTAATTTTACTACTTTTAGATTAATGAGTTCATAAAAAATCGATCAATATAAAATTTATCTCCGTATTAATTATTTTTTGTTCAGGATACGGTGTGGATTGGAGGAATACCGGGCGTGTATGGAAATGAATGGTATTTATATGTGAAGCCTTAAACAAAAAATTTTCTCAAAAAGTAATGTCTTATGAAGTATTTTTCTTGAAATGTAAAATCTTGTATGAATAGTTTGTTGTGCATATATTGTTAATTTTTATCGAAAGTTAATGCTGCCAATTTTTGCTTCGCAATAATACAAAGCTGTGTTATCCTATACTTAATAATATTTTAATTATTATTGAATTAATTAGGTGTTGAATAACAGCATAGTAATTATAAGCAATAAAATAAAAAATCATCGTCGGTTTAATCGAAACTTTTGGCAACATTATTTCTTTGCTATTTCACGAAATCAAAATAATTTTTACTATTCATCTACTATTATGAGAAAATTATTTTGTGTGAAGGCGGTTTTAGTGTAAATGCATATTTCGCTTTTGATATGTAATAATGTTATATATTTGTAAAGTAAGCCAGTATTTTATGTGTAATATCAAAGAGTAAAACTTACCGACAATGATCGCCAGGATGACTAAACCAATGACGCCCATTATTATCATCATCTGAAATTAAAAGAAAAAAATAAAGTATATTAAAAAAATTCCTTATTTGAATTGTAAGGGAAAAAAATTAATAAAGTGGATGCAATATTCCTCTATTGTTTACATTCTTGAGTCTTTTAGATTCCTCTATTTTTGCAGCATTCAAGTAGCACACATTGTTTAAATACGTTTGTTGAAATGATTATTATTAATATCTCGTATTAATTCTCGTAAAAATTCATCAACTGTAGTATTCATGTTGATAGTGAGCATATTTAATCCTAAAAAACATCAAATAATAGCATCAATATGCACATTGTAACTTTGAACTCATGTTACAGAAAAATAATCGTAAACTTTGTGTAATGAGACATATTTTGTTCTTAAGTAAAATAAAATGTCAACGATCTCTCGAATATTTTTGCACAAAATATTTAAGGCAAGCATTAAAATTCATTATTATTTTACTTAATTTTTTTAAAGTAATTTAGAACTATATCAATTGTGAAAAAAATAGCAATAACTTATAGAGAAATAATAGCGGCAGCATTAATACATGTTTTGTGATTCAGGTAACAAAGAATATAGTAATTACATATCGTTTTCAATCTTGTGAAATTACATATGTCACTAATTTTTCTCAATATAATATAAAGCAAAAACTAGTGGTGTATGGCATCGTGCCTTAAGGCAAATTGCAGTAACTTTCCGTACTGTAACAAAATGTTCGAGGAATATTAAATGTTTTCAAATAGATTATTATTAATACTGTAACATTGTCCAATATTTATAAGAATTAACTGAATTGCAAAGTTGAAATTATTTGTTTAAAGTACATTAGAACTTTAGTCAGAATTAAAAATAAAATCTGAACCATTTTCGATATACAAAAAAAAATGAAACAATTTTTTTTTCCAAAAGCAATTATTTTGTTAAAACAAGCAGAAAGTTCTTTGAATCATTCAAATCTGACGCTTAGTTCTCTCAAAAACTGCAATTTTTTGCACATTTAGCAATGTATCTTCGAAACGACTAGGCCTGCCTTTACCAAAAACTGATCATCTCTTCACCCAATCATTACAAATTGAATGTTTTTTAGATCATTCAAATCGGATACTCCGTTCTCTCAAAAACTCGATTTGTATTTTCTGCACTCTTTGCTCCGTATCCCTGTAACGGCTGGCCTTTGTCAAAACCTAATCAGCACATCTCCCTATCAATAGGAATCGAATGTTTTTTGAACCATTTAAATCGGTTGATCCGTGCGCCCGAAAACGTAGACGAAAAATTGCGGATATACAAAACACACACACATCCATCTTTTTCGAGGAATGCCAAAATGTTCAGAAACCTTCAAAACGTGAAGATATGCAAAAAAAATCGATTTTCCATTACTATAACTACTCTACGGGAAGTTAATTAATAAACCGCGTAAAGATAACGTCTAAAGTTTAGACGTATTACTTACGTTTAAACTCTCTAAACGATTATATGATTCATATTTAAAAAAATATGAAGAAAGCTAATTCTTTTACAATCGTGAGATAAAATTCTAACTATTTAAGTGAATGAAAAATAACAACCATACCTTTAAGTTTTGAAGCCAGAATTTCCTTTTCAATTTGCCAGCCTGCTGTTCAAACTGTGAAGCTCCCTGCTGTAACGCATCCGCCCTGTCGTCCAGTTCTGAGAGCTTTTGATCTCGCTCCAATACTTTCTCCACATTTGTTTTCATAATATCCACTACCTGTAAATAAAATAAATTATAAAATATAGTAATTTTAGTCAGAAGTATCTAAGTTAAAAAATTACAATCTATTTTGCTGGGCGGAATTACTAAAATAGGCATAAAAGTGGGCAACAACCCGTTTTGCAACCACATAATTTGCATTATAATAAAAAATATCAGTTAATTCAGTAGACATTCTGCTATACTATATTTCCACAATGGATTCGCCTTAAAAAATGTAAGAAATTGTTTTAAACATTGAAATAAATTGGTATTATGTGAATAGTGCAGAGCAAATTACTGAGAATGTCTAAATTACTGCTAGTCAATTATATTTTGGTATGATTATAGATTTGAGAGAGATTTACCTCGTCAACTTGAGCCTGCGTTTGTTGAAGTCGCTTTTGTGCAGCAATTTGTTGCGGCGTCCTGGGTCCTCCAACGATTTCTCCATCACCTCCTGCCGCTGACCCTGGTGCTAAACCCTCTCCAGACCTGTCAACATCAAAATTGAATATTAGTAGAAATAACAGCCAAGATCATTTTGTTTCTCAGTTTTATTTATTTGTGCCACTCATCTTTATTATTGTAAAACGTCATATTAAATAGAACACATAGCTTTTTATGGCTACGTTCACACTAACATTAACCAATAAACTTTTCCAAAACATTTTACTAGTATAAACATTAACTGATGCTAAGAAGTTCTATATGAGCCATGTCAGACATACACGACTTAAAAACATTGAGAAAAGTTTTATAGAGCCACGTCCGGCATATATGTGTGAGACATGGTGCTTTTTAAGGGATTTTGTCAAAAAAAAATTCTTTGTTATATTAAGTTTCAATCACACATTTTTATCTAATAAAGTTACCATGGCCCATTTGACATTTTTTTATATTATCGTGGCGATTAACGTTATTGACTACTGTTAGATTAAGAAATATATTATACGATGTAATATAATAAGTATTTCGAGTTTTTAGCGTTGGAGGCGCATCAAAAAATTATTTATGTGAATATTTAAATAATCACATTAAAATTATATTAAAAATGAGCGCAGGTCAGATTCTGAAAGCATTGCATTCACGTTACAACTACATATTTCGAGTGATATTCAATAAGCAATTCGTCTTTTGTCTGACTTGTCTGAAAACTTTTTGTTCTAAAATAATAATTACAAATTCGTTAAACAGTTTTTGAATTAATGATCCAAACCTTTTTTGATAAACAGTATGTTTTGCATATGTAATTAGAGATTGTATAACCAGAACAAAATAATACAAAATAAATAGATTCTACCAGCCCTCCACGAAAAACCCGCATCTATACAAGTTAGAATCATTGCACAAGATTGATTTTATTTATGGCGGTAATAAGATCTTTATCGAGTATTTTTTTTACAAACTCTGTTATTGCTTCATTACTTAAATTGAAAATACACCCGCGCTGTGTAATCCCGTCGCAATTCAATTAGTAATATTCGATTGCATGCCATGAAGTAGATCTAATTTTCTAATTAAATGCAGGATAAATAATATTTTACTTGAGGGAAACGATCAAAAGGGTATGTTTCTAAATGTGCATGATATAGTGAGAGATCAGATACATATTATTAGTCGAATATTTAACGAATTTGTAACTTTATTTGAGCATTTGTATGTTTTATTCTTAAATATTCAATTGCCTCCGTTTAAAGTTAGCTATGTAAATCCAAACTAAAACGCTTTTAAATAGAAATTGAATCAGAAACTGGCAATAAGCAATACTATAAACCATAGATTTGATTTGAAAATTTAATCAGTCCAAACTTTGATACGCACAATACATGCACTTGTAAGGATATTCTAACATCTCTTGATCTAGACAAATTTAAAAAATAAAATTATTGTTTTGACACAAGCGTTTAAAAAATGACAATTAATCCTTGCTTTAAGGATTACCACTTAAGGAATAGATTTGAAAATTAAGAACTATTAAAAATCCAAAAGCAGTACATACATTGCGCCAAATGTGATCTATACTTGTAACACTATCGAAAATTTTTGGTTTAGACCCAAATTGTTGGTTTAAAAAACAAGTAGCACTGACAATATTTAAAAGTGTATGTATTGCACGATCATGAATCAAAACTCGAGTGAATGCACTATGAAAATGATCGTTATTTCCAATTCACTCGATGCAAAAGTTATCCCGGCAATGTCGTGGGAGTGTACCGGATCGCGCACGCGTGTGCGTTCAACAAAAATCAATTGCACACGAAGAATTTAATGACAATTTTTCTAAATAAAATATGACAATAGTTTCCAACGCAGAATAACTATAACAGTTTCAAATATTATTACATCAAGTGTTGTAGAATTCACAACACAAGTTCACAATGATAACACAACGTCGATCGATGAAGACGCACTCCAACGCATTATTGTTAGTTACTCGCACTAAATCGCTACATGAATCTATTATCATAAAACACCTCACAAAATCGAATTATATTCGATTGCACTTTACACGATTTATCAATATATAATCATTACAAACTTACATGATGTCACCACGTTTTTAATCCGAGTTTACAAAAGGCAGTAACTGGCTATAAAACCTCTCAGAGGAGGTCTCTTGTATCTTGAGGTTGAGGTTTTTAGTCCAGGACCCACAACCACAACCGGTGATGAGCTGTTAGCATGCAGTTTCGACTATTTTGTTCGCCTCACGTCAGAATTCGCAGCTATAAGTATCACGTTAGAGGGATGTTCAGTGAAGGTGACGTTTATTCGCGTACATAAGCACGGTAGAAGGCTGATAATATATAACATTAAAGTTTTCGCGCCGGCGTGTTCGCGCAAACATCTTCTGTCACACACGTTCCGCCTTTACATCGAAAAGTATTGATAATTCGGGGAAGCCGCATGACGTCATATTAGCGTATACACCATGCGCAATGAACGGCCAAACCGAACGCGAACATGAATGAAAACGACGGTTTTCCGCGAATGAAACGGAACAGGCCAGAGCGGCATAACGGTCAAACACGTTTGACAACCGGCACGATATATGAGAAAAATACAAGTGATAAAGTGCCGGATACGAACAAAAATACACTTTTGAAACAACGGAGTAAAGAAAAGAAAATAAAACTACAGTAAAACCTCGTTTATCCGAACCTCAGTTATACGGATTTGCGATTATCCGGACTACCAACCGCGACTAATTTATATGTATGTACATACCCACAATTCGAATTTTTGCGCGATTAATGCTGCAGTTTAGTGCACCTAAGTCTGTTTTTACACGGTAGATTGGTTCCAGAAGAAGCCGTGTAAAAAAAACGTGTAAAAAAAGACATTAATCTTATACAAAAATGGGTGATTTGTTCCTAATCTCTAAAACCTATTAAAATTAGTGAAAAACAAGAACTTTTAAGAACAAGAATTCATGTTTATTTTATTAAATGAAATATATAATGCTCATTTTCACAAGCATAGTAATTAATGATAAAAAAGATATGCACTCTAATCTTAAAAGTAATATAAATTAAATGTATGGCAAGTTCAGGAACTAAAAAACTATGTTGAGAACGAAAAGAATAGGTTATTCAATTTTTAAGGTTTCCCTAAATTAGTGCTATTCACATTTGCTTTGACCACTAAAAATTGTTTGTACGCGCTAAAGGGGAATTCACTTAAATCTTCAGACTTTCAGACTTTTTTCTTTCATAAATACTTTTTTGTGATATGAACATACCTCGCAAAAATTAAATTTGACAAAAAAATTTAAGTAAAAAAATTAAAAATATTCAATTTTCAAACCGTGTTATTTCAAAACCGTGTACAAAAAGACCGTGTAAAAACTGTGACCGTGACTTAGGTGTATATGTATGTAGGGTAATCTAAGAAAATATGTATGTACATACATAAGGAAGTTTCTATTTCTTAATAAACATTATTTTCGTAGATATCTATGTATGTATTTGTTATTTTTAATACATACACAACATTATTCTTCATACATTTGATTATCCGGATTTTCGATTATCCGAATGCCTATCGACAACAATTAGTCCGGTTAACCGCGGTTCTACTGTATTAAATACTGCTTAACTCTTACAGGCGCAGAAAATTCAGGTTATTTTTAATCCAAGATGCACGCACGATAAAACTTTCACTAAATATTTCACTAGAAATTTTTAGAATATGTAATATAAAAGTACAAAAAAAAGCATAAAAAGTATGTTCAACGTCTAAATTTTTCAGCACTCGTGCAGCATAAGAAATATATTTATTTTCTGGTACACTATGTGTACCACTGTACCGAATCTTGGATCAAAAGTGTGGTATATATCGCTTGTACCACCATAGGTTCACTCATTTAAGCTCAAATTAGGTAAGAATCTCGGAATTTGAGATACCCAACTGTAGGTCTGTAAATACTTGTATATTGACACCCCGAAGTTATCTCAAAACCTACATATGGTAGGTAAGGTGTCAATACCATATGTAGGTTTTGATACAAAATTTTAGGGTGTCAATATACAAGTATTTACAGACTTGTGTAGCTGGGTATCTCAAATTTCGAGGTGAACTTACTATAATGACTGGACTACCAAGCCTGTAAGAGTTAAGGAGGTTTTCTGGTCTAGAATTTGTTCAAAATTCTTAATTTAAATCATTCTAGGAAATACAGCTGTTTGATCGCGATAATCTTCCTCTGTTTTCTTCCTCCGCGAAACATTAACATATATTTCTCGAAATTGTCTTTTCGATGATTTTACTTGAAATTTTTACAGAGTTTTCTTTATAAATTTCTCCTCAATATGAACTTCGTTCATCCCGAAAGTCTGATTATTATTTTCAAAAAATTCGAGGATATAAAAAAAGTTGTAAACAACTTTTTTTTAGAAAGACGCTATTTTGTGAAAAAACATTTTTTAACTCGTCCGTAGCTCATCATGGGCCTGGTTAAAGACCACTTTTTGAAATCCCCACTTCTTCACCTTCTGAGATTAACACTGCGACTTGTATTTCGTTCTTATATTCCCAAAACAACAACTTGCAATATGTATGTATATATATATATATATATATATATATATATATATATATATATATATATTATTTGCCTATTTTTATGGCCTTCAAAAATCACATAAAATTTATACCTCTAGACCAGAATACGCCCTTAAGTGCCGGATAAGAACAACTGTACGATTTTAAAATAAGAGTACAGAAAAGAAAATTAAAATATGAAAATCTTGCTTATTGGATCTAATCACCGAGAAATATCCGACATTAATACGTAGAATACCGCAATCCTACCGGTGGGTCAAAACGCGATGTTATCTGTAATTGACAATTTTTGGTGCAGTCTTCAAGGAGCACAATGCAGAAAAACAAATATAATGAGACATACAAACATTTCTATATTGACGTTACATTGAAAACATTTAACTTGCAAATATATTTTGAATAGTAACGCTTTCGAGTGTATCAAGGATATCATGAAGCTTTTACATCTGTTCCATTTCATCTGTTAACACTTGCTCGACTGGTACCATTAAGCTTCAATAGTCATAATAAAAATAATTGTAAACAGTAAATAAATGTGCTCCATAGTAAAAAAAATCACTAATGCAACAAATTATGCTACAAATGTAGTTCATATTGAAAGCAAAAATGTCTGTCATTTTAGAGAAAAGAAAATGTAGATATTGTGAAAATTCCATAGTCACCAAAATGTGCACAAACTTATTTGTTGATTTTAGTAATACTCACTCTGTCGGTCTATTTTCTTCAAACCAATAAATAGAAAAAGCTTATGCAAAGCAATAAACAGAGGCTAAATATCAAACTAGTTATATTTTAACTCTAACTTCCATAATAAATCCCAGAAGATAAAACTGCAATTAAAACAATCAAACTATTATTTTAATTATAATTATAATTTATTGGTTTAAAATTAGCATTCTGTTATGCATTCATTGTAAACTGAAAAAGAAATAATCCGTTTTTTCATTACTACCGACAATACATAGACATACCTGTATATAAATGAATAACTGTACAGTAATTTAATGGATTTGCTTCTCTATAGATATTTAAAATAAGATTTAAATTAAATTCTAAATAAAATTATAGTCTGAGCCAGTACATAGATGAACGAATACGATTGTAATCGGGCAAATTTTCAACTGGTCCTACAGCTGCAACAGCGGGACACCTGTCATAAATGTATTTGGTGGCTACATCACGTATATTTTGGGCAGTTACAGACTGAAAAACAGAATTAATTGCATATTAAAGTATAGCTATAAAAGTAAAAGTGAACGATTTCTTTGAATAGTTACAAATAAAAAAAAATTAACAACACTCATCTGAGATATAAATTAGCAATTCAAAATTCACATTCCGTTACGCTTTGAATAAATCTTTAATAGTAAATATATATATAAATATTTATATATATATTTACAAGCCATACCTCAATTCTTTGTTCAAGTTCATGAATGGGAATTCTTCTACCATAACATAACATTTGTCTACCAATATCTTCACAAACAGGTGTTGTTCCTATAAATTAATTAATTACAATAGAAACCAACTTAAGTTTGGATGAATAGATTGAAAACAAAGCAAAAAATATGTTTAGATTGCATCACTTTTCGTATTTACTGATCAGTAAATTGTCTTAGACATACCATCAAGCAAAAGGAGCATGTTTGTTTTCAAATGATTCTTTGCACGTTCTACTTCAGTTTCTGTAACAATTGTGCACAAACGCATCCATTCATTTTGAATATTAAATAACATATTCTGAAAAGATAAAATATAATTGATTAAGAAGATCATTTAACAAAAATGATATAAAATCTAATTATGTCAATTAACAGTTGAAAAATTAAGTACCTCGCATTGCATTGGATCACAAACAAAGTAAATACCCCACAGACCAGTATCTTTGTAACATGTGTTAAAGGACTGGAAGCTGTGACATAAACCTAAAAGATAACATAAAATTCCAAACTTAATATTGGCAAAATTAAATAAGTTTAATTAAAGAAAATGTTTCTAACCACCACCAGCACTGGCTTGTGCTAATCGTGAAGCATTGCTGTTGCCACCACCTTGTGACCTGTCCCAAGCACCTAAAAAAAGAATGTAGCATTAATATGTGCTTAATATAAGTACGGTTTATATATTAAAGAAAAATAGAAACCTATCAGTGTATTGGCTACCATCAGTGGAATATTATCTTGATTGGTCCAGCCACAACCTTCAACAGCAATAGCAACATGAGCTAATGGCATAGAATCATCTCGAACACGAATCTCTGAGCCTGTAAACCTGTAAATTATTACAAAAATTAAGTCTCATAAGTAACAAATTATTTATGCTTCGTAGCATATACAAAAAAAACAACATTAGTAATAAAAAAACAAAATCTATGACAAAATAGTAAAAAATTCAATGTTCACTTAAGAATTTAATTACTTAAAGGGGGTACTCTGGTCTAATTTTTTTTAGAAAATCTATTTGTTTTTTGGATATTTCAAAAGTTTAACTACTCAAGAATATTTGTACAAAAACGATTTTTCAAAATTCAAATTATTTTCTGATAATTTCATGATAGTGCTGTTTAACTTCAAAAGCATTTTTCTAGAAACTGTCTTTTTTGATACGATACCCACGATTTCTCAACTTCTACTGGACCAATTTACTTGAAAATTTTCTAGAGTCTTCTCTTCAGTATGAAGTACTCTCATCTCCGAATTCAGACTTTTACTATTTTTAGAAAAAATAAGAGTATCAAAAAAAGTTGTGAAAATTTTTTATTTTTAGACAGTTGCTAGCTATTTTATGAAGAAAAAATATATTAAATTGTCCCTAGCTCATACAATTGTAACAAGATTCTAGATTAATAATATATATTTTTTGTCCTCCATTTGTTTAGATAATCAGATTGTCTGGGAAGGCTATAATAAAGGGTATAGTCAGGTACCAATTTTTAGAGACTCCCCACTTCATCACTTTCAAGTATTGAAACTTGAATAATGTTATTTTTTTATATTCTCAAAGCATTGATTAAAATATTATTTCCTTTTTTTACAATCTTTCAAAAATGACAATATTTATATCTATAGACCAAAATACCCCCCTTAAAACAAATGAAAATTCACCTGCAAGGAGTAATACAAGGAGCTTTCTTGTCAAAGTCTGTAGTTAATTTATTAAATTGTGTTTCAGCCAATTTAACCAATTCTTCGTGTTTAACACCACCAGCACCAGCTAATACTATTCTTGGTGATTGATAGTGTGTTGAAATATATTCCTGTAAATCATTACGGCTGATGCATCTAAAGAAAAGTAATAATTACACACTGATAAGTACAAAAAATATAAACGATACAGACATAGCGTATCAACCTTCACATAAGTCCAAATACAAAAATTAAGTTTATTAAGTCCACTTGGGTTCAATAAAAATGAAATTGAAAACTTACTTGATATTCTGAGTTGGCCCCAAAATTGTGTTTCCTAATGGAGTTCCTTGGTAGGCAGTTGAGTGTAAATGATCAAATACAACTTCTTGTAAGTTGCTTTCAACTTCTTGCATTTCACGTAGAATAACACCACGTTCCCTTTCGATTTCGGCTTCTCCTACAAAAATCTCATTTTATTATACAATCTTTCTATAAGTATTAATTCTAACAAATATCAAATAATTAGTGCAAAGAAACAAATTGTTAATAAAATTCCATATTTCTACCTTGAATCATTTGAATACATCAATTGTACTATACAAAAATTAATGAAAAGAAATTTAAGAACAAAATTAAACGAAAGTAACTGTAAATAATTATACAAATCAAATTGTCCTTATAAACTATATAATCCTAATAGTTATTTGAGAATTATATAATATCTAATAGAGTGATGTGACTCAGAAATTTTACAGCTTTTGAAACCATTAGGAAAAAATTATAAAAATGGTATAATTATCTTTTATAAACTATATAATACCTAAACGTGAATTCTGAATGATGTCGCTCAAAATTTCAACAGCTTTTGGAACATCATTAGCAAGGCATTTAGCATAAAACACAGTCTGTTCACGAGATGTGTAAGCATTCAAGTGGGCTCCCATATTTTCAACTTCAAGTTCAAGATCTGTTTGGGAGCGTTTAGCAGTTCCTTTGAATGCCATGTGTTCCAAAAAGTGTGCAACACCATTGTTACGGGCATCTTCATACCTTGAGCCAGCGTCTATCCACAAACCAACAGTAGCAGTTGCAGCTCCTAAAAATATGAATTATGCCCATGTCATAAAAAAATTAGGTGTAAGTAGCATTGCAATAATCAATTTAAGAATTAGTATTTAGCAATTTAGATAATTTTTACTTATTACTTTAAACAAACTTATATCAGTAATTTTAAGTATTATAGTGCACAAACATATGCCTGTAATTCAAAGTTTAATATTTCAATCACTTATAAAACTATAATATTGTAAGGCATGTTCGCTTAGAGTTAGACATGAACTCTATTGCCATGTTAAACTTCATTAAAATAAAAAAAACTTGTTTATCATTTAATTAAAAAGTACCAGCACAGCTGATCTTTGCCAAGAACTTATGAGCCGATTCCCAACTAATATCTTTTAAACAGATTTTAAATTTTCAAACCTAGATCAAAATTTTTTGCTTTCAAATTTTTAAAATTGGTCCAAAAGTTTTTTCAGAAGAATATTTGACGAGAAGTAAAGTACTTCAGATACTTCTTTTAAATTTCGTCTTAAACAATTCAAAATAATTGTAAAAACAAAATTAGCAAGTCTAACATTCTGGCAAAAAAATAAACTTCTCCTTCGAGATACTAAAAATGTCAGACTTTTTTTAGCACCATGTGCCCCTTCAGTGACAGATTTGACAATGAGGAAGTTATTTTCACAAATAACATTTCGGTTTACTTAAAATACTTCAATTATCTATCTGATTACTTGTCTATTGTGCAAAAGTATTTGTATCAATACTATATAAATCACACACAAATGTGAATGACCTATCAAAAATAAAAATATTTGTTATTAGTTTTATAGTACAAAAAAGAGTTGAAGTTATAACTATAAGACATTAAAATTTCGAACATAATTTGGTAAGATATTTATTTTAAAAAGTAAGAAATAATTTATTTACCTGAATCTTCTGTCGCAACTTTGAGGCCACTTTCCAAGCAAGACACTTGCGTTGGAGGAACATTTATGAGTGCTTGCTTGTAATCGGTTAAAGCTGTACTTCTGTTCTGAATTCTCTAAAAACAAAAAGCAAACGCAAGTTTTAACATCAACACCGCATATCAATCTCATATATTATTGAAAATTACGTAATTTAGAAATGTAACACACAGAGGTTATGATACGTTTACAATCAAGGAAACATGTTGAATTAATGAATCAGCACCACATATATAGTTACCTGGAACAGACAATTTTTATTGCCATTAACCCTTAACAATTTTGATAATTTTACTAATTGAGTAGCCATTTCTGAAAGATCAAGTTGTCCTGGCCTAAAGTCAAAAATCCACAATGATGGATACTTCAAACAAAATAACCCATCAGGTAGTATTGCCAGAGTCGAAATAAATTAGTCAAACCTTTCATACGTGAAGCAACGAGTACCAACACGATATGAAGATTAGGATTTCTCGAATTAAGGACTCTCTTTGCTCCTATCTATGATATATTTGGTAGGATCATTTATGCTTATTTATCTATGATTAGGATCTTGGACCATATAATACGATTACGATGATAGAAATCCTATCAGCATTTTCTACTAATAAATTAATATTAAATAAACCTATATAAAAATAATTGATGTTAATAATAACGACTTTTAAAACATTCGTTATTTTACCTTATGCAATGCTTTTAATTGTTTTATTAACTTCTCGCAGTGTAAGTTATAGTAATCGCAAAAAAATCGAAAATGAAAATTTGTATACAACTTTACGTTTCAAAGGTTTCTGAACATTTTGGTATACATTAAAAAAAATGGTTGTATGTGTGTGTGTATGTATGTATGTGTGTGTGCGTGTGTGCGGATACAAATTTTCGTTAACGATTTCAGGAACACCGATCAACCGATTTCAATAATTCAAAAAACATTCGATTCGTATTGATAAGGAGACGTACTGATTAGTTTTTGGCGAAGGCAGGTCTAGCGGTTCTGAAGATACGAGGCAAAAAGTGCCAAAAACGGTAACTTAGTGCTTAAGAGAACGGAGCGTCCGATTTTAGTAATTCAAAAAACATTTTACATTGACAAGATAAATAAGAACTGATGAAATTTTTGGGAAGGCAGGTGCAGCGCTTATGGACTCTCAATAAAAATAAGTTAAAAAGATTTCATTTGGCGGTCAAAAATGTTTATTGGACATATGTACATCAAATTATCATATATTTTAATAATGTGTATACATTTTGTGTAATTTTTTTTGGGTTTCGTACCAAAACTTATAATTACTGTACGGGAAGTTCCAACAAATTGCCTTGAAGCACGATGCCATGCCCTAGTTTATTTATATCTGATGATGATTTGATCCTCCGACTCGAAACTTTCCTGATTCGAATGATTCGGAAAAAAACCTGATTCTAATTTTTTTTTAATTCCTTTTATTCAGCAATCTGTTATAAGCAGATAAGCAATGAGCAAAGATTTTGTTAACGATATAAAAAAGGAATAACATTATAATAATACATATGATTTTATTAGAATATGAAACAAAAACAAAAAAAAAATAAAATATAAGAAAAATATAAATGTTACTATGTTATGTTAGTGGGTAATTTTTGCTTCAGCCTGGTAGGCTTCCAAGTACACTTAACAGGCTATAAATCGTTAGGATGAACGTCGATTCTGCTTTTATAATTGGAAGGGGCTGTTGTGTTAGATTATATATATATATATATATATATATATATAAAGAGATTATTAACAATATAAAAATAGAATAACATTATAATTCGATTATAATAGATACTCCCAGCCATCTCCCAGCGGAGAATCTATTTGGAGTACAATATAAAACAAAAATAATACAAAAGTAAACAAATGAAAAATAATATAAAAGTTACTAGATTAGACCAGTGGGTAATTTTTTTTATAAATAAAATTAAAATAAACGTGTATACACAGAAATATTATATTAAGTAATTCCTCTTTTTTGCTGTATTTATAAAAAGAAACATAAATACACAGTATATATTGTATAGAGTTATTCGGCAAGAACTCCGGATTGGGAATAGACCTCCTCCAATGTTGCCCATGCATCTCTATCTTGTGTTACGTCTCCAGATCATGTCAGCTGTTCGTCTTAGATCGTTTCCCCATCTGGTTAGTGGTCTCCCTTGATTCTCTCCCTTCTGGAATTTTTTGTCTGTTGTTGGTTTTACGGTTTTCGTTAAGTTTATCTCCAGACCAACCTGGACACTAGCTTAGTGCAGAAACTCTATCATTAAAAATATCTTTCCGGTTGTCACTGACAAAAGTACAATGTCGCCTGAAAAATTAAGGTGCATGGCTTAGATGCTTGTCGTTTATATATATGCCTAATCTGCGCCAATCCATCTTACCGATGATGTTCTCCAGGATCGATATACATATTATTGGAGATAGAGAATCCCCCTGTCTTACTGCTCTTTTTATGGGAAACTTCAACTCCCTTGTTGAGTCGGAATCGAAAGCTTTCTAATAGTCTATGAAAGTTATATAAGTTATATAATGTTCTCGATTGTATGAATGTGGGAGAAAGTCTTTCCTGAAATCCACTTGTTTCACGAGTTGTTTCATTTTTAGTGTTGTACTTATTCTTTTGTTAATAATTGTAGAGAATAATTTGTACAGGATAGGTAGTAGGCTAATTGGTCTAAATGCATTATCTACAAATAGTAATTGATAATACTTTGAGTAGCAGCTGCTAAAGTAATATACAAGTACCTAGGTGTGTATGATTGCTTGTATAAGGTTGTTCGAAATGCAATTTCGTTTTTTGCGACAGAAGATTAAATTGTATTTTTTCAACCCAACATCACACTCAAACCCTATAATTATTATATGAATTAAGTTTGAAAGCTTATATATTAAGGTTCATGTGTGCACATTTTACTGTTTACAGAAAAGGTTAAAAATGATGTTCAATCCAAAATAAAATTGACCGATGAGTTTGGAAAGTGTTAATTGTGCGACAATGTCAGAACTGGTTTTTTTAATTTTTGATCTGGAAATTTTGATGTCGAAGCGATCACGTTGAGAAATAATGGTTGAAGCTGATAAAATTTAACAGTTTATGACCACTTGAATGGTCTGGGATTTTCCTCGAAGCCTAATGTATGAGTTTTACAGGTTTTCATAGAGAGAAACCTGTGACGTCAGGAATCTGATCAGTTTTTGAAAAAGAATTGGAAGAGAAAAAATAGGTTGTATACAACACTTCATATGCAATTCCTCAAGAAACAAAAACAAGAGTAACCTGGGCAAACCAGTTCCAAAGTCAAAGTACATCACCAGAAAAAGGTGATACTGTATATGTTTGAACAGATTTTAGACGAATTGTTTATTTTTCAGCTTTTTTGGCTTAACATATCGTAGCTTTAACAGAAAAGGCCAAAACTAATCAACAGGTAAGGCGTAGTATTGCATCAAAACGAGGCGCGACCTCACATAACTTTGGCCAATCGTCAAAAGCTTTTACAGCTGAAGGGGACGCAATGCCACGCCCACAATATTTACCAGACCTGACATCATAGGATTATTATTTGTTCCAGCCACTAAAAAAATGTTAGATGGTGAACAAATAATGAGTAGGTCAAAATACACCTTTGTCAGTTTTTGCCAATAACGATTAAAAAAAGATATGTTCTCGGAAATATGCAAATACTACAAATATAACAAAAAGATGTTCGAACAAAGCAGTCAATATATAATTTAATCAAGTATTTGTTTATTATACGAAAATGAGTTGTATAAAAAACGAAAGTACTTTCCGAACAACAATAAATTGAACAACTTTATGAAAAATTATAAAAGAATACTTATAAATACATGAAAAATATATTAAAAATAGGCATTTGCAAGGAAAGTTATGGAACAAAGCTTAAAAATGCATGATTAATGTACTAAAAATGAGTATTTGCTAATGAAATTATAAGAGAATAACTAAAAATACATAAAAATGTATTAAAAATAAGCATTTGCAAAAAAAATTATAGGAGAATATTTAAAAATACATAAAAATGTAATGAAAATGAGTATTAGCAAGAGAAATTGTGAAAGAAAAATTGAAAACATAAGTCAACTAGTTTATTTTCCAGAATATTTGCGATGTCTCTAATTAATATGAATTATATCCAAAACATAGCCATAGAAAACTGCTCGATTAACTACATATATTATCAAGTTTGAACTTTTAATACGATTTTATAATTCTGAAATAGATATAATACAAAAGACAATAAAATTTCAAGCTGAAAATCAAATAAACTTTATTATTTAATTGATTTCATGCAGAACAGACGATTGGCATAATTTGAATTTTCGCGTTAAAAAATGTTGGTACCAAAAAGTTTGGAAAACACAAAAAACTCATCTGACCAGCGCGCGCAAACTGTACAGATTTCTACTCTCCATCTCTCTGGTCGATCATAAGCACTCTAGCGTTGGCGCAAATCGGACGGTTTGTAACTGTTGAGTTTAATAAGAGCAAACAAAATTAACAAAAAGCCATGGATAATATTGCCAGGGGTAAGAAGAAAGTGCTTAGAACAAGAGCGCACAGAGAAGAAATTAGGAAGCGACTTATAGAAAGGTTGAACAGAGCTGATAGAGGCGAAGTCCGAATGTTATTTCGATCTCCAGCGGGTGATGTATCCTCGAGTAGCGCCATCGCTATTCCAGAATTTGACCACCCCGAACCTGTTGCAGGACCCTCCAAGCTTCGAAGTGTTGGAACGCCACGGCCCTCCGAATGTCGATTACCAATTACACGAACAGTTCCAAATATAACTCCCAAAAGCACGACAATTGTCGAGCAAAAACCGGGGTCACAGAGCGATTCTACTTTACAAATGGTTGCCAAGCGGAAAATTATGTCTAACTTAAGAGACGCCGAGAGAAAGCTTGAGAAGAAGTCTAAAACTGATTTAGAAAACCGAGAATCGAGTGCAATTCCGCTGGACAGGTTCAGCGATGCAACATGTTCTGAGAGCTCTACATTAGTGGATTCATCATCCCATATATTTACGGAGAGTAGAGGGTCTTCATCGACCACTATGAGGTCAGAGTGCGGTTCTGCTTCAGACACCCAGAGTATCAGCAGCCTCTTCGATTACTGGATGTCAATCGTTCACTCATCTGATGAAGATTGTGGCAATCGGAGTTACGAAGGCTATGTCTCAGACTCTGCAACAATCACTAAAAACAAATACAAAAAACATAAATGATTATTGTAACTTTTATTGCTACTCTAAAATGAAATATAACGTGTAATTAAAATGTGTTTGAATGCTTATACTTTTATCCTTTTACAATAAAAAATATATTTTAAAACTGTTATTTTTATCAATATCCTTACCTTTTATACCCATAATTTTTTCCAGAGTTTGTGTACAATATTAAAATTCGTCCCTTGAGATCCCAGTAGGTAATTATTGTAATTTTCATTGCTCGATATCTCGCACCAACTATAAAATATTTAAGTATACTATTATAACCTGATGATATTGCAAATAAAATGTTACATAAATGATTATAATTTATTGTTATGCAATATAAATATTTCAAAAAACTGTATTTTTCAATATTATTCTTACCTCGTACGCTCGTAAGTTTTTTCTCGAGTTTGTATACTATATGGAAATTCTTTCCTTAATATTTCATAATCCAGCAAAAAATATATAAATATATATACATATTCTCAATATATATATATATATATATATATATATATATATATATAATGGCTTTATAAATCAATTTTACGTCCAACAATTTCACTACATTAATCATTTTCTTAAGATATTCAAAACATATTTTTATTATTAAATGCTATCTTTTTTGCTAATCAGACTATGTATATGATAAGGCATATATTAGACATGAGAGAAATGTTAATATGTTATTTTTACCCTTAATAATCTTAACTTTTTGTTACAGGAATCATTACATATATTCATGCAGACATTTTTTCCTACTTGTTCAGACAAAATTTTCAAATATTATCATGCATTTCAATATAAAGAGAATATTATTCAAAATGTATGTAATTCATTCTATTGTACTGCATACCTTATTACATAGTGACCACTAATTATAGTCTCTAAGCATGTAATATCATTATTTTCGATAAATCATACAAGCAAGGAACTACTTCATATTATAATAATGTTAAGCATATTTGGCAATAGTAAATATGTATACAAAGCTATCTATGAACACTCTAATTTTCTCACATATTATCTTTAGTTTATAATTTGTACAATTAAATGTAATTAATTGTATTATTGGCTTGGGCGTTGAATAAATAAATGAAAAATATCTAATTAATTTGATAAAAAATTATGAGTATATACGTTTATGGAAAACTAAATTAGGCAAAAAAAATTAAACATTACATCCATTTCATTTGTCACTTTTGTTTCACAAAGCACAATTTAAATTAAAAACTACAAATTATCACTTATGCACTAAGCCATTCACAACATCACAATTCAGATCACTTTAACATTCAACAACTACATTTCCCTTTTTTCCTTGGTTTCTTGCACGGCTCTCTTACTATTCCTGAAAGATATTGAGTTAATCTTAAAATATCTATTAACAAAGCAACATAATCTTGAATATCTTGCAAATTTTTCAATTGCTCTGCAAATATATGCAATGCATAATTATGTAATTGTATATATATTTATACATATATAAAAGAAAGGCTTGATATAATTATCCAACTTTAAAGCTCGATATAATTATCCAACTATTGCAAGCTTGATATAAAGGTAAAAGTTAGTTTCACTACTGTTTTTGAAAGCATAATTCAAGATTTTATATAACCCATATAAAACAAGCATTTTTCTCTCACCAATAAATAAACATATTTTATTAAATATTAGTCTAGTTACAAATTCTAATTAACAATAAATATGCAATATAACTGTGTTAATTATATACATATTTTTACTTATCTGCATATGTGTATGTACTCAATGCACATATTTACAACTATGTACTTTAAATTCATAAATATTATAATAAATATATAAAATATAAATAATTGTACTTCGAATATTGCAGTTTGTACAATTTCAATCTTAAATTACAATAAGATCTTTTCTGATTAAATAAAAATAACATTTTTCATAAATAAGTATAAGAAAGTGAAGTAAAAGAAAACATATCACAATAATGGCTATTGCATTTTTTTCACATTTCTAAAGTAATTCCAAAATAAATACAGGGATCACTAAAAAATAATATTGAATAATGCAATTTAAATCAACAGCTACTAAGCAAATTCTATAGTTTGAAAGATCAAATATCTTATTGATACTGTACACAAAATTTATAAATGTGAATCAATTGTACAGCACATTTTGTTGTACACATATTGTTTATTTTATAAAAATAACAAAGATTAGTTAACATTATTATTTTTCAGCAAATAAACTATCACAAGCATAATTAAAATCAAAGTAAAGCATGCAAAATGCAGTAAAAATAAGAATAAATAGATTCAAAGTGAATAACTCCTTAGCTCTTATAAATTAATGTTCTTATTATAACCGCAGCATATTTAATGTGATCCCATAAAAAGTTTTTAAGTCATTTTTGTTTTGATTTTCAATTAGTTATAGCAAAATCTGACAAACTTGAAAAATATTATAATTTGACAATAAAATGTTGATTCATATAAACTTCTCAGACCGGCAGATCATTGATGAAAACCATATGTATAAAATTTAATAATAAAAAAAATACACACACATACACAAAATGCCCTTCTTGATATAAATGATTTAAGTCGATTAGAAACAATCTGGAACAGAAAAAAGTATACATTATTTTTGAAATTTCTGAAGACACAATTTGAAGAAAAATGATTAAATTACTAGTTGATGACCATTTTGTCTTTAATTAAAATACTAGTACTATACTAGTACTATATTAAAAAATATATATATGGTGTAAATATATAATATGAATATTTCCTGTGTTCATGTTATATAAACGCAAGTAAACTTCTAATATGAGAGAATGATTAATATAAGAATATAATCAAAATAACTATTACCATTATGATTAGACTCCTGGTTGTTCTTTGCAAATATGAGCAGTCATCTCAGCCAAGGGTTCGAGTTCATTGGCTGACACTAAATCAAATTCTCGAATAAAATAATAGAAATGTTTATAGCAGGTATTAACATGAGCCTCCTGTAAATATTGAACATCATATATATAAAGAAATTATTTCTGTAATTGTGAGCATAGAATATGAAAACTTTACATACACTTAATTAGTGCTTATTTTCACTTTGCTTCATTTACAAAGTTGCATTGTTTAGTATTTGAAATATTCTAACTTTTTTTCTATTTGAAAACTGGTAAATGATTTGCTAGCCTCTCTAATAACCAAGAGTTCTCTAAAAAACTATTATTGCAACTGGAATTGCAATTTGTTAATAAATAAGATGACCATTCCATAAAATTTTCAATAAACAAAATTTAGCTCCCAAACAAATACCTAAAATGATTGAGTTTCTTTGATACCTAAATAAGTTTCTTCAATAAAGCTATAGACCAAAACAGCGGAAAGAGTTTTACAGTCGGCAGGCACAAATATCAATTGTTGCACTCAAATGAAATGTACTTTGCAAAAAAAAAGCTGTTCGGCAAACATTGGGCCAATTTTTCATGAAAAATATTTCTCAACTTACAACAGCAGCCATTATGGACTGATGAAACAGTAATTAATTTTAATTTTGTTTTTCATAAAGTAATTGAATACTTTATTTTGGTTCAATTGAATAGTTCATGTTGTTTTTGGAATGTACGTAACAAATTTTACAATATTTTTGTTTATCAAGTGTTTGCTTTTCACAATTATCTTTTTAACTGTTACAGGCTTGATGGTTCATGCAGAATGAACATATTTCTTACGCTGCACGAGAGCTAAAAAATGTACCACTGTCCATAGCACATTCTGGACTACGTTGAAGATGGGTTCATGTATACTCAGTACTTTCCTTAAAAAAATCTGATATTTTTGTGCTTGAAAGCGTTAAAGAGTAATATTTTTGTAACCCTATAACCCCTAGAGCTTTAATTATTACATGGCTTTCTGTAGATAATTTTAACATTTAAAAAATAGTACAATAATATATGTATACAGTAATACCCCGTTTCTATTTCAACCCAGGTTTTGAAGGGGTAAATAAGGAAGATGTCAAAAATATAAATCAAGAAGCAGCGCAGTCTTTCTAATGATAAGATCAAGAAATGAACTGAACAAGAAGAAAACAAAAATGTTGACAGCATTGATTCAACTTTTGATGACATTCGTAAAAAGGATTTTGTCTATATAATAAATGGATCAATTCATTGAAAATAATCTAAATGTAATGCATGGTGTTAGAGATGCTCTATCTGTTTCTGAAGAACTTTTAACAGAACAATGCAAAAGAAAAAGGCAAACAACATTAGATGCTTTTGTCACATAAAAGGAGAACACTGGTAACTAAATATAACTGACTTAGAATTTTATTTGTTTTTCAAGAATATTCATTTTGTTATTTACATTTTGTTTTTATTTTTGCAAGAAATAATAATATCGTATTAATTTGGGCTTTTGGATATAAATGTTTGGTTTTGTTTTTGGTAAAAATTCCAATATTTCCATGTTTAGCTCTGTTTCGCATTGTGCTCTACTTTGATGGAATGTATCTCCCGCGTTAAGCAGGGTATTACTGTGTAATGTTATAGTCACTCATTTGTAAATTGTAGAATATAAAATAATACTTACAGCACCAATACTAACAATCCTATCAAAATGATGAATATAAACATGTACAAAAACTCGATTTAAACGTGTCATAATTTTTTGACAGAGGCACATAAATGATTTTGGAAATGGTATATCTGAAATTATATAAACAATATAAATAGGAAATTTTGTCATGAGTTATACATATGCTAATGTAATACCTGTTGAAACAGGAAATATTGCTTCATTATTGATTTTTGTTTCTATCCAATCCATTAACAATGATATATATTTTGGGGCAGGAACAGCTTTTGCTTGTCTATACCAAGCACTGAAATATATAAATTATATAAATGCCATTTTATTAATGATTTATTTAAGCCAGATTAAATTACTAACTCTCATTTAAAATAAAATTACTATCTTTTATCTATTTGCACCAATTTAATATAATATAAATTGTACAACTATCAAAAACTACGCATTCATACAATTTAATAGTTAATATAATTACACTGGAATAGATATGTAAATAATAAGTATAAAATGTAACTTTTGAGCAGTATATTTCAAAACTCTTTTCATTTATTTCAGTCATTTAATAACTTGACCTGACATTTTTGTATCATATAAGTATCCTTATTTTATATAAGAAGTTTTCCAAATACTTTTTATTAAGCTCACCTTTCATGATCAAGCCATAAATATTCATACCGTGGTCCACCAGACATCGTAGGACATGTTTTGCTTGTGCAATAATCAGATACAGTTCCATAAATCAGGTTAATGCGATTAAAAAAATCCACCACTGAACAAACATAGCATTTAGATAAAGGTCATTGCTAAATTATACTACTTGATTAAACTGCAATCATTTGTTTACCATGAACTGCCATCCAATCTAAAGGATCTTCACCTTCTGGCACTTGAACTATACTTCTTAAATTTATACCAGATGAAAGGCTAGCCTGGGCTTGTTTATGTAAGGAATATCGCATTGTGCCTCTTGTAAAACGTTTTTTGGGCCGAAACGTCTAAAATATCATGTATTATAATTTGTCAATTTATGTAAACATTTCAAATGTTAAGCTAAAGGATTAAAACTAGGAAATCAGTTGCGCTCAATACCTTGCCCTTCTGAAAAAACTCCATAAATCCACTCATTGCCATATTTTCAACAAAAAATAATCATTTTAAAGTCCATTAAATATTTTTCACATGTATCTTTCTGATCTTTTTGTCATTTCCAGACAGTTGGCATTAACAAAGTTGCCATTGCGTTTGCTAGATAAGGGGGCGTGGCTTACTTAAATATTTGGTGTGTTTACGAAATACGCATACATGTCAAACATTGCACTAAAATCTGCTAATTTGACAGTACAAAATACACAATTGTGTACCAACATATCAAAAAAAAAAAAAAGATTAAAAAGCGACAGTGTTGCCCCATAGATAAATATCCCCGACACGTACAATGAAACACATAAATGTTTTTTTGTAGAAAATGATAACTTTTGCTCAGAAAATTAAAATCTTTGCTATTAATATATTATAACATTATCATATCCAATAATAAATTTTATAATTGATTAGTTAAACTAGGCATAAACTAGCGGTGCATGGCATATGACATCATGCCTCAAGGCAAATTGCAGGAACTTTCCGTACTAATATCCGTATTAATTTTTTTAACAAAACTTTAAAATATTTTGAACACTGAAAAATTAGATTTTTGAGAATTTTAAAATTTTTGAATTTTTTTTTTTTAATTTGAAACTTTTTATATATTTTTACGTTTGAAAGGTTTCTGAACATTTTGGCATACCTTAGAAAAAATAAATGTATGTGTGTGTATGTTTGTGTGTGTGTGCGGATACACATTTTTGTCGACGATTTCGAGAAGTCCGACCAACCGATTTCAATAATTCAAAAAACATTCGATTCGTATTGATAAGGAGACGTGCTAGTTAGTTTTTGGCAAAGGCAGGTCTAGCCGTTTCAAAGATACGGGGCAAAAAGTGCCAAAAACAGTAACTCAGTTTTTAAGAGAACGGAGTGTCCGATTTTAATAAATCAAAAAACATTTTACTTTTGACATTGACAAGATGAAAAACTGATTAAATTTTTGAGAAGGCAGATCTAGCGGTTTTGGAGATCTAGTAAAAAAAGTGAAAAAAGCTATTTGGCGGTCAAAAATTATCATTAGGCATATGCACATCAAATTATCAGATATTTTATGGAGATTTTAATAATGTGTATTAATTTTCTTCATATTTCTATGAGTTTTGTAACGTTGATTGTCCGTTAAACGGCGACACGGCTATTACGCGCTTCGATATTTCGGGTCTATGCAGCTAAAGCAGTGCGATCGCTTGAAAAAAAACGTTCAAAATTTCCAAAATATTTCAAAATAAAAAAACGTTTTTTTTTCAAATTCATTTTTTCCAAAAATTCATTTTTTTTTTCAAAAATTCAAAATTTCTCAAAAATCTATTTTTTCAGTTAAACAATAATGTAAAAAATTATATTTTTGGTACAGAAAGTTCCAGTAATTTGCCTCGTAACTAATACACATTGGTACAGAACCCACAAAATTTGTACTTATAATCTAAATCTCTATAAAATATCTGATAATTTGATGTGCACATGTTTAATGAACATTTTTGTCCGCAAAATAACATTTTTTTTATTGGATCTCCGAAACCTCCGAACTTGCCTTTCCAAAAATCTAATCAGTTCTTCATTTCGTCAGTACGACCGAAATGTTTTTAGAATCTTTCAAATCGGAGGTTCCGTTCTCTCAAAAACTGAATTATCATTTTAGACACTTTTCCCCACGTATCTTCGAAACAGCAGAACTTGCATTTGCCATAAACTAAACAGCACGTCTCCTTAATAATAGGAATCGAACGTTTTTAGAATTATACAAATCGGTTGATTCGTGTTGCCGAAATCGTCGATGAAAATTTGTAATTGCACATACATACATCCAATTTTTCTATGGTATGCCAAAATGTTCAGAAACCTTTGAAATGCGAAGATATATAAAAAAATTTATTTTCGATTTTTTTTGCGATTACTATAAACTTACTCTACGGAAGCTAAAAATACATATTTTATCTCATGTTGCAGAGCTAAGACCACTATTATAATGTTGTATGACTTGTATGTTATAATTTTGTTATGGCTATAAAAATTTCAAACATATGAGTCATTGATATGTTATGAGAATAACTTATCTAAAAATTATAATAACAATATGTCGCTGACGGTGTATAGAATGGTATCATATCTACGTACGTGTTACTGCAACAGGCAGTTATATAAAATATCATATCATTTCGAAAATATGGATTTTTAGATCGATCTTTATAACAGATATATTAATATTAACACCATGTTATCCATCTGTTGTGGTCCGCGTATCCCCAAATCAGCATTTAGGTTCTCTTGAAAATCTTTATTTTGCTTTTTATTATTAACAGTAATATGAATTTATTAGTCCCAAGAGCCTGTTGTGGTGACTTCTTAATAACGTGGCTTTACAAGGCAACCCAACGGTTGGCTTATCTTTTTTTATTAAAATTAACACTGATGACTTTCTATTTCATTTATCAATGCCGGGTAAAGACTGTTCACTTGGAAAACATATTTTCACTTATATTTTCAAATGAAAACCGATGTCACTGCTGCCTGACATCAAGCTGTCCGGTATGGTAATCGCAAGTATTACATATTTTATTTTTGTGATATACTGTGCTCTGTTTGGGAAACTAGTAACGAACGCTACGCCAGCTTGAACAACTTTGGCACGATATTTTTTAATTTAAATTGTAAGTTAAGGGGTTAAAAAAAATCAATATAATTATACTTACATGCAAAATCAAATGAAGTGTAAGTATGTATATGGTATGTATTACACCAAATAAGGCGTTTTAATCGTGCAGCAACCTGTTGGGCTTACCCTCTCTAGTAGGGCAGACAGCTATTTTCAAAATATCATATAAAATATAAACCAAAGTTGGTATCAAAAAATAAGACCTAATAGGTATTAGAACTAGTGGGCTGCATGGCATCGTGCCTTTAGGCAAATTGCTGGAACTTCCCGTACCAAAAATTATTTTTTTTAAAAAGATAAACATTTTTGAAAAAAATTACTTTGACAAAAATTTACTTTTTTAGAAAAAAAAACTTTGAAAAAAAAATGCTTTCTTTATTTTGAAATATTTTGGTAATTCTGAACTTTTTTTAAAGTAATCGTACTGTCTTAACTGCATATATGCAGTTAAAACAGTACGATTACGATTACTTTAAAAAAAAGTCTCTATAGAGTTCTATTGAATTGTTCAATTGATCGGTGTTCCCGAAATCGTCGACGAAAATTTGTATCCGCACACACACACACATACACACATACATCCATTTTTTCTAAGGTATGCTAAAATATTCAGAAACTTTTGAAAAGTGAAGATATATAAAAATTTTCATTTTCGATTTTTTTGCGATTACCTATTTCGAGGACTTATTTTTCTAACACCTATTCGGCTATTTTTTACTTGTTTATCTATGGGTATACGTAAACCACAATTTTCGCCGCAAATTTTTCGGGTACGAGAAAGCTTTCGCATATTTCATTTCAATTTCAAACAATTTAATAACTTATTAAACGTTCATTCATTTTATTTTTCAATTCGATAAATTTATAAGGTCATCGGGTTACAGAAAAATGTTTACTCACAAGACTGGTGAGACGTGATGAGACGATTTCATCATGTAGACAAAATTAACAAGATAAAAGTGATCGTACCACTACTCGACTTCGATTTTTGTTGATAGTCGAAAGTAAGTGTTCGACGAAGTGATTATCATGGTGGTTCAAAAAGTGTTTTTTAAGGTTTTGAAATCATTTCAAATAAATAAAAATGCGTGTCTATATGTTCGACTATGCAAATCATATTCTACATCTGCAAATGTTACGGCAAAATTAAGTGATAGTGATACTACCTTAACTGTCAATATTGGTTCTTCAGAAGTATATAAATATCCTTACACATGGTTAAGGGATAACTGCCAATGTTCGGAATGTTTTCATAAAGGATCGCAGAGTAGAACTTTGAATTGGGACAATTTTGATGTTCGAATCAAACCGATGGATTTCAAAGTATGGAGATGTATAATGTTTTATATTAATTAACTTGATAAATAAACAGTTTCTTAACCAGTTAACTGTGATTGACGGGAATACTCGTCATGGAGAGGTGACAGAATTTTGTGTATCGCCATGCGTATATATCAGTGATCATGTGCTATTTGAATGGCGATTTTCAGAAAAAACAAAACAATTTCTCAAATTTCAAGATGTTATGAATATTTTGAGGCTATGCCGGTGTAAAATAAGTAGTTGTAAGTAGCATTCTACTTTAAGACAAATTGCTTGAACTTCCAGATATTTTTAAATGTCACCAAAAACTAATCAGTTGAATATATCTACATGGTACTAAGAGAGATGCTAATTATTCCAAACTATAATGAATTTTTATAACAAAACTTTACTACCCAAACTTTTTCCGCTTTTCGCAGACCTGTAATATTTTGGGATGTTTGTATCTCTCTGCGGCAAAAATTTGAACACTTAAATATAGTGCTTAATTAAATTTATTCGTTTGTAGTTTAATACGTATGTAATTAAAATTTTCACCCATCGTTTTCATCCGATATCATACTAGCGCAACTTGCTCGATTTTGACGATCCAAAACTTTGCGCACTGTTCCGATCCAAAACCTGCCACAGTTAACTGGTTAAATTTATTTTCCATTTTTTACAAGTACAAAAAATTTAATTTATCTTTTTTAAGATATCTACATTTTTTGCAACATGATATACACCCAAACCTCCCTTTGCGTCGTTTCGTTAATACAAAATTTTCACAGTACGTCGTTAGATTGTTTTGAGTTCGAGTCTTTCATTGTATTTCTTAATTTTTTGAAATTGAAGAGAGGATTGCAACTGAAATTGCAATTTGCTAATGAAAAAGATGACGGTGACCGATCTATAGAAACCTTTGAAGAACAAAATTTAACTTTCAAACAAATATGTAAAGCCGAAATGTTTGATCAACAAAGGTAGAAATATTTTTAAAAACAACGATTCTGGCAGCCGGTAGTTACGAATATCAACTAAATTTGTTTAAGTAAAAAAAAGCTGTTTAACAATATTTTTTTATATTCTTTTTGAATAGCAATCAGAACTGCGTGTTCTATAAGCTTATATATTGTTCTCAAGAGGGCAACCCAGTGGTCAATCACTCTTGTTTTTGTGTTAGTTGTATATATTAGACATGTACAACAAATAGTTTTGGCGTAATTCAGCAGTCATCGAATCAATCTTTTGTATAAAAAATGTAATCTACAACAAAAGCAATATATAATTAGTTCAATTTTGTTTTTAAAAAGTAGTATTTTCGCAATCCTGGGTCCTATCTTTAATCTCTACAGTACTAATTCATTTTGCGTCGATTCCATTTGATTCGTATGTTTCGGGAACGCAAAGTGAGGTATGGGTGTATTAAAATTTATAAATATATTTTATAAAAGATATTGTAATTAATGTTATTGTCGTTCAAGGTATATTCTGAAACAGAGAAAGTATTAATAAATTGGAGTGATAATCACAAATCAACTTACGATATACAATGGTTAAAAGAACGAAACTTTTCAAAGTCAAATCGAGATAGAGTATTAAACACTTTGTATAAACAGCAAAAAATCCATTGGAGTGCCGACGAATTTACACATATATTTCAAAAATTTCAATTCAAAGACGTTATCAATGAGTAAGTATGTTGTTTACAAATTCTCTTCCTTGTCGCATACGGCAAATATTTCATTAACATATTACGAGTTTTGTTCTACAGAGATAGTGTTTTATTAAAATGGTTATCGGCATTGAGTCAATATGGCGTGGCTCTTATCGAAAACGCTCCCATTACTGAAAACGAATGCAGGAAGCTCGCAGGAAGAATCAATTTTATGCGTAAAACACATTATGGGTAATTCAAGATTATTAAAATAACACATAATTGAAAATTGAATACAGAAGTTTTAATACAAAAAAACGCTTTTGTAATTTTTTAAGAATCTACTATCATTAGTATCAACTCAACTAATATCATAATTTATTTAACGGGATACAAAAAGTTTACAATATTATATTATATACATAAAAAATAATTATTTTGCAATCTTTTTTTATATCAATTCGATTTTTTTGGTTTATATTCAATAACAGTACTTTAGAAATAGCTACAGCTAGCTGTACGCCCCCCTAGCACCACCTTAAGAAAGCGCACACTACAGGTTGGAAATCGCTGATTTAACATTTAATAAAATCACAAATAATCGATTATTTACAAATCTTTACTTTTATAGGGAAATACGGACAAAATGACATAGTGGCCTTATTTAAAAATTGGCTAGTTTTAGTAAAGTTTTCGCGGCTGTATAACATGAAGAATGCCATAATAATAATCCTGTCAGATGTTGAGCGTCATTGTCACAATCTTGTCGGAGTAATCTGTACAAGTTTGCTTCGCGCCTTGAAAAGTTTATTTTGAAAGTGTTTTTCTCATGTTTGTTTGGGGACATATTTATTGATATTCGTAATTATTTCAATTAAAATCAATTAAATTAAGTCAGTTTTAGTGTTTTTGATCAATTTTATTGCAAGAATCAGATTCTTAGTAGAATTTTGATTAATTATTCACTTTTGTTCAATTTCGGACAAAATGACATACTTGTGCAATGGACAAAATGACATAGTACTATTTCACAAGTATGTAAAGTATGGACCAAGAAAAAAACTAGTGCGGTGTATGGCATCGTGCCTTAAGGCAAATTGCTGGAACTTCCCGTACCATAACGAAATGTTTGAGGAATATTGAATGTTTTCAAATAGATTATTATAAAATACTGTAACATTGCATAATATTGAGAGTTGTATAAAACTGAATCACAAAGCCAAAAATATTTATTTCAAGTATATTAGAACTTTAGTCAGAATTAAAAATAAAATCTGAATTATTTTCGATAAACAAAAAATTTAAAAAAAAAAAAAAATTAAAAAAAAAAATTGAAACAAAACTTTTTTTTACAAAATCAATTATTTTGTTAAATCAAGCAGAAAGTTCTTTAAATCATTTAAATCGGACGCTTAGTTCTCTCAAAAACTGCCATTTTTTGCACATTTAGCTCTGTATCTTCGAAATGGCTGAGCCAAAAACTAATAACGACTTCTCCCAATCATTACTAATTGAATATCTTTTAGATTATTCAAATCGGATGCTCCGATCTCTTAAAAACTCGGTTTCTATTTTTTGCACTCTTTGCTCTTTATCTCCGTAACTGGTCCAGCGGCATTTGCCAAAAACTAATCAGCATATTTCCCTATCAATAGGAATCGAATGTTTTTTGAACCATTCAAATGAGGACACGCAAAACACACACACATCCATTTTTTCTGAGTTACACCAAAATGTTCAAAAATCTCTGAAACGTGAAGATATGCAAAACACTTCATTTTCGATTTTCGGCCCATTACTATAACTTACCCTACGGGAAGTTAATAAAACGCCATGTCATTTTGTCCGTACTGCCCCTATATGGTTCATTTGTATATCCCAAATTATTTCCTTATTTTCAACAATTTGATACCAGCGACTGAATCATCACACAATAAAACACATTTTGACAAGTATACATATAAATATTGAATTTCAATAAATTTTCTTCCCTTATAGAGAAGAATTTGAAGTAAGAGCACGCGACTTTGATACAACAAGCAATGTGGCTTACCTTTCGACACCTCTCCAACTACACACTGATCTTCCTTATTATGAGCATGTACCCGGAACCATATTTTTACATTGTATGGAGCAGAGTTCTGGTAAAGGAGGCGAAAACTTATTAGCCGACTGCTTCCGGGCTGCAGAGGAATTGCGCAAAAAGAACTTGAGATATTACAACAGTTTATGCGAAACTGTTGTTAATTGGTCAGACGTGGGCGAAGAAGCAGGAAATAAATTTCACAAAATACATCGGGCTCCGGTCATCTGGTGAGTGAATAAGTGAAATTAGTAATATTTATTATAAAGGATTGGCCAGAAACCTACACTTCTATGCGATTTATGCCAAATATTATAATAACTATGTGAAAGTATGTCTTAAGCTCATGCAACTTGCAAGTAAAGCTTAAATCAGTATCCTAGACAATATTAGAATACGATGTTTATGATTAAGCACTTTGTATAAACAGCAAAAAATCCATTGGAGTGCCGACGATTTATGCCAAATATTATGATAACTATGTGAAAGTATGTCTTAAGCTCATGCAACTTGCAAGAAAAGCTTAAATCAGTATCCTAGACAATATTAGAATACGATGTATTCATATATATATATATATATATATATATATATATATTATATATATATATATATATATATATATATCTTCTAAATGTGATCAGTATATAGAAAAATCTGTAAGTGAGTGTATAAGTAAATCATCATCAAAGAAATTGCAATGATACGTAAAACCAGTTCTATTTCGAATCATTTTTTCTTAAAATGATGATAAAGCAAAATGCAATTACTTATAGCGCGAAGTTTTTAACTGCATCTCTTCAAATACTGGAAATTTAATAAGACATTTGAAAATACAACACTGCAAAGAAAACGTTTTCTTTGTGTTCACGTGGTTGGAGTCATCGGAATTATTAAGCAAATCATAAACTCAAATTTAGTATACATATTATCATATTAAATCGACTCAATATAAATCGAAATTTAAGAACTTTTGAAATTGTGACTATACAATTTTCAATTTTTTATTTCGAAAATAAATTGTTGAAAACATCAAATAAAAAATGATATATAAAATTCAATAAAATATTTATATAAAAATATTATATTATAATTACCCACTTATCGTAGGCCTATAATATTTAATTTAATAATTAATTGGGTAGAAACGGTGCGGCCAATATTTACCAAAAACTAATCAGAACTGATCAACTGATACCTGAAACGGTTTATAAATTTTCATTTCATTATTCGCGAAAACGTTGACGGAAAAGGTTTTGCTTCTCCCTGTTAATTATATAAAAAGACTTATCAACGCGAGTCTTATCAAGTTCTATAGTTTCTATATTTTTGAAATTGATGCAGCGCTTTTGAGAAAACGACGAAATCTCAAATTTTGAAACATATACTTTGTTCCAATTTCAGTCTCAAACAATTCAGAATGACTTGAGTCATCGTAAAAACATAATATGTATTAGCAAATCGGATTTTCTGACAACAACAAACTTCTTCGAGAAGTTTGAAAATAAATTCAATTGTTCAAAATAACGGTTTGTGCTATTTGAACAAGAGTTTACAAATAATAATTTGCTCATATTACACATACATATAAAAATTTCTTTACTTTAATGCAAATTTCTTATCTTGAATGTATTTTTAACTCTTGATATAAACTTTAAGTATGAAATCAACATAATGATAGTTTCTATTTTATTCTAATGTTTTCATTGAATTTAATAAATGTAGCAAAAACCACGACGGAGATATTGTGCGAATCAATCACAGTGTTCCACAAAGAGATAGTTATTTCAATATTCCATTGGAAAATGTCACAGAATGGTACGAGGCAATGCATATGTTTCTCCAATTGGTCAGAGAACAGACAGTTACAATAAAAACTAAACCAGGTAATATTGGAGTACTAATATCTAGCTGCTTTCAGTAGTAATTACAACAATATTAAATATATAAAATCGCATTGGAATATCTGGTAACAATAAGGTAGGAACATCTTAATGTTTTGGGAGTTAAATTTACATGCCTCAAAAAATAATTTCAGGTGATATTCTCACGATTGATAATCTACGATTAGTACATGGACGCACAGGATATACAGATAGTAAAGCAAACACTAGATTTTTGATAGGAGCCTATGTCGATTGGGATGAAATATACAGTAGGATTCGTGTTCTACAAACAAAACAAAAAAATATTAACCAGTAATTCACAACTGAAGTTTTATTATGACACATCCTTATATAAAAACATTAAAAATTCAAACTAAAATGTATCACTCTCGCTCAAGTATTTAACAAAATAAATATCTTTAACAATTCGTATTGATATTATGTCTTAAATTTGATATAAACATTAAACATTTTCACAAACAGCCTACATACCAAATTATCTAATATTTCATAAATTTATTTCACTATATCTATATGTACAATCACTGTTTCAAAATATATTTGTTATATGGTATATTAGCCTTTTTATCTTTGGTAATTATAATTACCTATTTGTGTCATATAGTCAATTTTATATAAATATAATTCATTTAATCTAATGATAAATACATTAATTCCTCTAATATTGTCTTGATGCATATAGCAATTATATTATGTCATTGAAATACATAATAAAAAACAGTTTTATATAAATAAAATGTTGGTATCACACAGGCACACAAATTACAAGTTCAAGGATTCTACTTGGCAGATAATTTAATATTTTTGTATATACCCCATATTACAGCAACATGGCATAAATGTAACACACAGCTAGAGAGATCAGTGCTAGGATAAGTATTCCATGAGTATTCAATAAGCGCTAGAATTAAAAGACGAACTTTGATTGAGTATGAGGTACACCACAAGAGATGAGGTAAACTATGAAAATACCAAACATAAAACTGATAATGAAGACTACGAGAGCAAGCTACACCAATAAAGTTACAAAGAAAAATTGGTAATAACGCAAGTTGTGTAACAGAATCAAAATGTACAGCAAAAGTCTTTACATTATCATCTTGCTTGGGTTCCACAGTCACTGCCCTATTATTGGGAGTTGAAGTTTTATTAATACCCTTTTCAAAATCTTTTAAAAATTTATGTTGCTCTGCCGTGAGAGGTTCTTCTTCTATTAATTTATTAATTTTCTTTCTTTTAAGTTCTTTATTTTTGGCATTTATCTGAGGTTCAAACTGTTTTTGAACTGTCCTCAGTCGGACATAACTTTGCATATATTTGAAGGAAATAGGAAAGAAAGCCGCTAATAAGACTAAATGCAATAGAAGTAAGCTTATGTGAAACTTTCCACTTTCAAATATATCTCTATGTAAAAATCTATAGTTAACAGTCCACTTATGCTCAAACACCCTACCAAAATCAAAACTTCCTTTTATGTAAGCAACAGCATTAACTAATAAAAAGGGCAAACCTAAAATTAATTGAATAATTCCACAAATGCTAAGCTGTACAATAGTTTTCACTAGTCCCAAATTAACAATAAGAAACAAAAATATAGCTGGTGCAAATAATAATATATTCATTTTAATAGATACTGCTAAACTAAGCGCAACACTGGCCAATGTCCATTTGGAATCCATATATAAATTTAAAGAAAGATATAAAAATAAGATTGCAATGGGATCATTGAATAAACGTAGCATATAAATTGAGTGTATTCGATACGAAGTAAGTGCACATAAAATTAGTACATATGGAGGAACCTTGCGACTCTTTGTGTAGAGCCTTAACACTAATGCCATTTGACAAAGATAAATGCCAATAAAAATGCATTGTCCTACATAGATATCTTTTCCTGCAGCAGTGATATAATATAAAATAGAGTAGATGTAGACAAATCCAGCTGGATATACTAAAGGCCCAGTATCACCTAAAAAAATATTCAGTATTTTAAAAATGTACTTACTATTTTAATGTGCAGTGATACAAGGAAATAGTCGACCTTATATTTAACAAAGAATATTGAAAACAAATGTAAAGAATAATCTAGTAAAAATACCATATGTTCACTGCAACTTGTGAAACTTATATTGTATATAATCATAATAACGTTTTAGGGCTAAAAAACAACAATTTAAGTTGTCAAAAGTATAAGACAGTAAACAAAAAAGATAAGGTTTTCAACATTGATATAACATGTCACTTATAAGTGCGTGAGACAATCAATTATTCATTTTCAACAAACTAATAATCTTTCAAATTACTATTTGTGAATGGCAGAATTGTTATTAAAACGTAGAAGTGGAAGAAATTCAATTTTATGGCATAAAACTTATCTATGTGTCAAATATTGCACAAACCTCTTAGTTGAGAATAATCTAAAGTTCCATTTAAAAAGCCTTCACATTCCTGCATGTAAGCGATCCAATCAATTTCAGTGTATTTTCTGGTATTTATTATAAAAATATTGAACACAAGTTCCACTGCCAGTATAAGAAAAGATATTATAGGCAGTTTTTCAGGACTTGTTAACAACTCCTTGCCAAATTGAAAGCTTAAATAAGTTGAGACTTTGTTGCCATAACCTTTCATCTTAGAAGAAGCTACTGCCTCTTTCCTTTTTGTTTTTGAATACATTTCCAATAATCGATAGTACTAATTAGCTTTTGAATGATCTGGCCTCCTTAATTACATAGTCTTGTCGTAGATTAATATTTGGTGAGCTGTAAAAAAGACAAATATGATTCAAAATAAGTTCAAAACCTCCAAAGAAGCTCCAAAGCATTCATTTAGTTTACTAGATAAAAATATATTACCGGCTATAGCATTTAACAACTTAACATGTCTCAAAATAAAAGTCCCTGTTATAAAATGAACAATATGCTAATAGGCTAAAAATAACAAACATGTGCCGGATAAATACAAAATCTGTGACAATTTATCAATGGCAAGTGTTGATTCAACAAACCGTTTTTTGTTAACCGTTACTCTAACGTCAACGAATCATCCGTTAATCGCAACGGCGTTAAAACGGAGTTGCCAACGGAATAATATGAACCAAAGACATAAACCAAGAATTATATTCCGATAGGGGGCGTCCATTAATCACGTGAGGTTTTTAGGGGGAGGGAAAATTTGATAAAAAATCACGAAATATTACGTGGGGGAAGAAGGGGTATAGTAAGATATCACGCGTATTTATTTTTTAACTGATTTAAAAAAAAATCAAATATTTTCAAAAAAAAATCAAAAATTTCCCAGTTTTATCACGTAACTGAAAATACACGTGATGTTTGTGGGGGAGACGTAATTTTGAACATCACCATGTATCAATACAAGGGAAAGAGGTGGGTACAAAAATTCTTAAAAACTTGCTCACGTGATTAATGGACGCCCCCTAATCGGTTGAGAATTTATTTCATCTGATGAATCTCAATTCTTAATGATTAAGAGGGTATTTTATTAATTAAGAGAGACACTAAAATTGTGTAGAAATTTCAAAATCTTTTAACTTTCCGTAAGGTAAGTACATAGATAAACAAGTATAATATTAAATAAAGTCTTTAATTCTAAATCGGCTTGATTAGGTTTTGTATATTTACTTTTCTTGTGAACACATATAAAAATCGTCGTATAATTTATAAACTCTAGTTTATCTTTAACTTTATATAAGAAAATATGTTTTAGAATTGTAACAATTATAAAACATATTTTCTTAAAGATAAACTAGAGTTTATAAATTAGATGATACAATTAATTGTATTGAATAGAATCTGGAATAGAATGTTTTGATATCGTAAAAATTAAAAGAAGCAGGAAAAATCGAATTATTTGTAGAAATTTAAGTCTTTAAAATACATTTCATACATTTATATGCTATTTGAATATTATTAACTTCCCGTAGGATGAGTTTTAGTAATCGCAAAAAAATTTAAAATGAAAATTTACATATATTTTTACGTTTCAGTGGTTTCTGAACATTTTGGCATTCCTAAGAAGAAATTGATGTAGTGTATGTGTGTGCGGATACAAAATTTCGTTGACGATTTCGCAAACACGTTTCAACCGATTTGAATAATACAAAAAACATTCGATTCCTACTGATAAGGAGACACGCTGATTAGTTTATGGCAAAGGCAGATCTAGCCGTTTCGGAGATACGAAGCAAGAATGCCAGAAGTGGTATTTCAATTTTTGAGATAACGAAGCGTCTGATTTAAATAATTCAAAAAACATTTTACTTGTATTGACGAAATGAACAACTGGTAAAATTTTTGTAAAGGCAGTCCAGCGTGTCCGGAGATCCAATAAAAAAAGTAAAAATAATGCCATTTGGCGGTCAAAAATAAACATTAGACATATATACATCGTATTATCAAATATTTTATGAAAACTATAATAATAAGTACAAATTTTGAGTACATTTATATGGGTTCCGTACCAATGTTTACATGTTAGACGACTACGCGGCGTCTAAAAATCAAAATACAAAACAAATTCAATTTTTCGAAAAAACATTTTTCTCAAAAACCTAATTTTTTCAAAGTTTTGCAAAATTTTTTTAATGACGTAGCTTTCGGTACGGGAAGTTTCAGCAATTTGCCTTCAGGCGCGATGCCATACACCACTAGTTTATTTATCAACGTTACAAGCATAGATAAATAAACATAAATATTTACAAGAGTACAGAAAAACAGTAAATAAAATGTTAATAATTTTTTAAATTAGCAGTTGTTGAAATGGAAGGTCACCAAAAATTGACACGTGACGGTATACACAATTGCAACAATGGCAACAAGATTGCAACCCTCTTTGTAATCCTAAATGAAAAAAAAAGATTATAAATCTAGAATGATGTCGCAATGGTAATACTAGAATTAAGTTTAAAAAAAAATTTGACAAAAAGACCATTTTTTTACATCTCGAATTTTTTAAAAATAGTACAAATTAAAATTTGGAAATGAGATGCATGTGCCAGAGAGAACTCTATAAAGAAAATTCTCTAAAAATTTCAAATAAATCTGTCCAGTAGAACTCGTGAAATAATAATGATTTTAAGGGGTCAATTCTGTCGTGAAATAAACCATAATGTTAAGGCTAGGCTATGTTATGTATCAGATTTCATATAAAGTGGTACTAAAAGCTGTCAAAATTTTATGTGGTTACTGTCACAAATCTCAAAAAACAATGTTATCATAACTGGATCTTTTGCTTGAGATATGGCTCGATAACATATGAGTGAAGTAGCATTTTATGTGTAAAACGCCTGATCATACAGCAAATACATGACGTTTTGACAGTATTTAGTACGATTTTGTATGAAAATTGCCACGTAATATAGCCATGGTATTGGTCCATTTCACAGCAGAATCGGCCCATAAGTTATTAAAACAAACAAGCTGAACCATAGAGCTTAATAACAGATTTTATAAAAATGTTAAAGCTGGCGCCATCGTCACCATTCGTTTAGATGAACTTACAAATATATTAGTGAAGCTTACCACTCAATTTCTTATGCCACTTGTTCACCGTTAGTAAAGCTTACCACCTAATGTTTAATACCACTTGTTCACCGTTAGTGAAGCTTACCACCAAATTTTTAACACCACTTGTTCACCGCAACGTGCCGTTACTGTGTCTATATATGTATATACATTGTATACATGTATATTGTTGTTTCGTTATTTCTTAGTTTTTTAGAATTTTCTTTATATAGTTTCTCTACAAAATTATAATTCCTATAGTTACCTAGTTTAGAATTTTTTTTTTAATTTTTTACCTGATCCACTGATGATGACATCAAATTGTATGTCGAAACGTTTGGAATTTATTATAATAAATTCTTAATAATAATAATAATAATACTTTTTTCTTTGTTTGATGTATCGCCCAAAAAATATGTATAATTGTATATATATACATATCATGCATTTGGAATTGTCGTAAAGATTATACTACTATGCTTTGTAATTGCTTTAAATTCTACTAATTCATCAAATTCAAAATTAGATTCGTATGATTATGAATCAAAAGTTTAATTGATTATTTGTTATTCAGCTTATTCAATATTTACATTTTCAAAATTTATCTTAAGAAATTAATCTTTAAATTATGTTATTGCATTCTGAACTTTTTATTTTCCCGCAAATATTTATGTTAATGAGTAAATTAAATTAATAATTTTTAAAAATCTTCTCGTAAATTTGTTGGATTTTATTGGGTTGATATTAAGATGAGTAAATTAATACGATAATGAACACAGCAGAAATAAACAGGAGAATACAGTGTGTATTATTTATTTATTACCTTCATTTAACTACAATGGTCGATAAAAAGAAATGACATGGTTTATTAATTATCAATATTAAGAATAAGAGCATCTAATTTGAAATAAAAATTAAGATGTCTTATTCCGAATGATTTATCAAGCTCAGTAAATTAAGCATTATTCAAGTTCTTTTCAATAGCGATAAATACAATGAATTTATAAATTGACAATATTTTGTCATGTGCATGTAGAATAAATTGACATCGAAACTGATTTGAAACTATCTTGCCAATTGAAAATGAATTTGACCATTTCTAACAGATCAATGATGTGATCTTGAATAATATGACAAAGATAGACATTCTTTACATAATAATTGTTGAGTATAATTCCAGCATAAACACACATATCTATTAATAAAAATCACACATGTATTATTCTTAATTTCTATATAATAATAATCGGCAACTTTCCTTAACTTTATTGCTGATAACTCATATATAATAATATTTTATCAATTTATACATTTAATATATTCATATAATAAAAAAGAACTATAATACCTATAATTACACTATATATTTGTATAATTACATACAATTAATATAATCAGTGTTTTTGTACATTATGCTTAATGGCTTTATAAAATAATGAACTATATATTTAAAATTATATTTATAATATTTTTATTAAACATTACTTTTCTATTACGCAATAATATTTACAAGTCGTTCTAATTATGGCAAAACATCCAAATAGTTTAGGAATTAGCCACGGAACAACATGCTACGAACACCATTGATCCGTCCGCCATGTAATTAAAACATTTTTGGAAGAATAAAATTGCAAAGACGCTTTTATAGTTTTTGTTCCAATATTATTCATTTGATGTTGAAAATTTTCACTGCTGATCTAATATAATCATCAAAATTCTATACGAAAAACTCTTCCTCATTAACGCAAGACAAATCAAATTTTATTAGTTCTGTCCACAAATTTGATAATTACTTGTTCCTATCATAAAATATAAGTTATTGAAATTTTTTGTTTTAGACTTTTGAATTAATACTCGAACTTCAACGTACCTAAAATTTATCATATCTTTCTGATGATAAAAAGTTAATTTTTTCCATGAGATTTTTTAATGAGTTTGACGAATGGCATTTTTATGTTATATATTTTACACGCGTCCAATAATAATTGTATACATTTACAAAAATATCACAGTTCCTTCATGTGTAACACTCGCTAATATTTTTTCTTTTGTTTCCGGATAATAAAAATATTATTTTCATTCAATAATATAGTTTGCATTATATACAAAACGAAATTTAAAATTAAACAAAAAATTTAGCTTCGCTATGTCTCGATGGAAACTTTTATTGAAATAGGTTTTACTTACATTTTATTGCTTATATGTCCAAATTCATGATACACCATAATTCAACCGCTAATTGCCTATCACAGCTCGTATCGACCGTTAAAATAATTCAATGGGCGATTTTTTTACAAATACACGTGAAACATTTAAAAAGAATTATAAGTAAGTCGATTTATCAAATTTCATAACAAAATCTACCGCGAGTAACAAATTCCAATTTCAATTGCCTTCTTGTAATATACTTAAAATGCATAATTCGTACGTAATTATACAAAAAGTTAAACATGGTTTAGACTATATATTTTTGGTTGAATGCTTATAAAACCCTACAACTTTATTTAATTAAAAATCCACGATAATTACAATTTCAAAATGGCTTTGTAAGCGCCCACAATTGTTATTGTAAATAAAATGAGAAAAGAAGCATTATATATTTCTAATGCTTTTATAAATTCATTTATATTGAAAAAGACTGACAGTAAATATGCAATAGATCCAAAAAGGAAAAAAAACATTAAAAATGTAGAGAAACCTACATGAAACCACCGTAGAAATATTCTTAAACACTAAAACCTAAATAAATAATACTAAATATTGTATTCAAATAATATAATATATATTTATTAGAAAATGTCATGTTTTTTTGATAATGTACAATAAAAATCTACATTTAAAACATAAAAATTAAGTATGGTAAAATCACAAACCGCACGGGTTCAATCTTGTCTATATAAATTTATTAATCAATATGTTCGTACTATTAAGTTAAATATATGTACATTCTATGCATGTATGTATATACATATATAGATAAGTGTATGTCTAAATATATATATGTATATACATATTAAATATATTTGATCAGCGCCGTGTAGTCCGTGGTCGCCTTCCGAAAAATGATTTTTGCGCGGAAATTCGTTTCCGGAACGCGACCCCGGATGGCGCCACTAATGCTAACAGTCTCGCTTCAACATCCGGCCAATATAAAGACAAGCATATCCATCCGACATTGCACTAAAAAAATCAGTGCAAAATTTATAACAGAAACAGTTCAACAATAACAAAAAAGGCCGCAATTATTTAATAAATATGCCGCATGATAACCTTATCTAATAGAATTTAATAAATTTATTTAATTAAATGAAACCTATAGTACACGCACATAACACAAGTATCCATATTAAGAAAGGGCACATTAACACAAGGGTCCCAGTAATAATACTATCTATATACAGCACAATGAGTAAAACATTTGTGGACTTCAACTCGTTACTGAGCTTTGTCCTTCATAGGTACTCCGACTCCTACGCCCAATAAGTGGTCGCCGCCCATAAGTCCTGGACCGGGCTGGTGCGCGTAGTTTCGTATCTGGTGCAGAGAGATCAATTGATTAGGAAACGCATTGCCACCAGGATTCTGCGGTCCGGTCTGCTTTTGGAAGCCAATCGTGTCGTAGAGATACGGTCGCTGCGACAGCTGATGGTGGTTGAGGTGAGAATTAAGCGGATTCAGGTGAGGCGCCATCGAGTTGATTGGGGTGAATGCAGAATTCGGTGGTGCAGATGCTACTGGAGTGGAAGGTGGCGCAGGTGGATCGCCCTGCGAGCCGTGTCCCGCGTGAGGATGGCCACCTAGTCCCAGACTATGTTGCCGCGCTGCAGCCAATTCGTCGCTTGCGTCACCGTTCATGCGGTGATGGTGATGATGATGATCTAATAAACCTCGGTGATGTTGCAAGTGATGATCGGGTGCGGGATGTTGTTGAGCAAACTCATGTTGTTGCATGGCCTCAGCCAAACCAGCGGCTGAATCTGGGCTGACTTTTGGCCAATATGGGTGATCGCCGCCAGGCAATGGGGGTCCATCAGATCCCAAACCGTGGTGTCCTCTGTGTACACCAGGACCGAGGCCGGTTATGGGTGGCCGCTTATCGGTGCGCTCCGCATGCTTTTGCATGTGTTTCGTGAGATACGTTTCTTGCGTATACGATTTGCCACAGTATTGGCATATGTGTGTCTTCAAATGTTTTGATTCTTTGTGTTTGGGTATATGTTCCAATAGTGATGGTTCGTCCGAGAAGCATTTATAGCAAGAATTACACTTGTAGGGTTTGTCGGTTTGGTGGCAACGTGAATGAGATTGGAGGTTGGATAGCTGCGAGAATGCTTTTTGGCAGCCCGGATGTCTGCACTTGTACGGCTTATCCCCGGTATGCGTGCGAATATGCTGCTGCAGATGTGATAGTTGAGTGAATTTCCGCTGGCATATCTCGCAGCGGTACGGCTTAATGCCCAAATGGATTCTCGTATGCTGAGACAGGTAGCTGGAGTTGGCAAATGATTTTGAGCACTGCGAACATTTATAGGGCTTCGCTTCCCGCATGTGTATTTGCGTATGCAATTGGAGATCAGCTTTCGATCCAAATATCTGAAAAATAAAAACAAACATTAGAGCAAAGAACTAACTTGCAATTAAGGATGGATTACATAATTCATACTATTAACTTTTCAATATATACTACATATGCGTTATCTTATTAATCGTTTTATTTTATTGAACACAAAATTAACGTCTTGTTGCACTATGCATTTGCATCCATCGCGTATGAATGCGTAAAATAAAATACTAAAATTACTTCAATAAAAATTGTTATAAATAAAATAATTTATTATTACAAATAAGTTTGTACATTGAAACAATCTATCACTAATATTGAAATTTCAATTATCACTAATTCAGTAATTTTATGTATATCTTTGTTGTCACAATTTTCTGATAAATAAATTTAATTTTTTCGCGATAAATTAACGCATTTATCGCCACATGGTTTTATATATAAGATTCACGAAAAACATTTTTATATCGATTAGCAATATTTTAAATTCGTAAAATTTATTCGATTGGTCGATAAATTTCCAATAGCGTGTTTTTAATATCGAATTAAAAATAAAGTGATAGTATATTTATTTGACATGATTACATTTACTATACGTTTTGTAATATTATTTATTGATTTGATAGCAGAACGTAAAAAATATTATTTTAAATTTTATTATTTTATATTTTATTATAATTAAAAACATTTAAACATTCAATACAGAAGACACTTGATACACAGGATGATTAGTGGATTAGTAGATTATATGGTAAAATTAGTTTCATTATATACAAAAACGTAACGCAATTCAAACTGTTATATTAAAAATCTAGTTAAGTTTCGTAATTATATTGTAAGTAAATGAAAATTTCGACCAACAATGATTAATAGACTAAGATATGTTATTCTATTAATAAATCATTGTAGTAAAAATATATGTACAAATCCACAAGGTCCTCATTCACGTTATATCCTTGCAAATTTGTCTGTTTATAACATCTTTCATGAATAAGCTTAATTATGAAATATATATTTCTATTGAAGTTAAAATTAATGATGTAAATTATGCACTGAATTTACTAATTTATCTGTAAGTTATTTTGTAGTGTTTATCGTAAAAGTATAAATAACCACATGAACCTTAATTTAATGACAAAACAATTAAGTAAACGAACACGGTTATTTCCCGTTTTATACTATCGGTAAAACGATGGTCATATTTTTTTCTATTGAACGTCGGTTTTATTTTTTTATTTAACTATGGTTTTATTATTTCTATTTCATTCATTTACTAAATATTGGGCAATAATTTTAAGATTTGATATTTGTCAGTTACACGAAATATTTTAATCACCTAAGTTGTTAACAAGGTTCAGAATTATTTAGGATTTGTTTTAAAATAAAAAGTATTTATATCATTTCATGTTTAGTTTATATTTGTCAATTGTATGGATTTTTCTTTATATCATTTTTTTAAATACTTTAACAAGTTATACATTAAAAAAAAACAATTTGATGTAAATATAAAAAGCTGTTATTTTTTGACATCATATGTCGTATTTTATATATTTCAATTTTCAATTATGGCAATTATGAAGCGTATATAGTACAAGATCACATTTGCTGAATACGTAAAATATGTTCCAAAAATTCGTTTCGCTATTCTAAGGGTGTTAAGTAAACATTCACAAAGAGAAATCGTAGACGAAACAAAATAGAACGGTCCGTTTCACGCAACAGCCAGGATCGACAAACAAGTTGAAGGAATGTGAATTTTTAAGCAGAAGACACACAACGAAACACATTGAAAAGTGTATCACAAAATTTACACAAAATATACGACAGATTTTCAAAAGCTTTAATACACTTATTTATTTAGAATTTACATTTATAGCGAATTTATTTCGTCGCGTTTTATATTGAAATCATTAATTTGAGAAGAACGACAATTTAGTACAATTATTCAAACACGTAAATGTGATTAATCAGATTGTATAACACAAAATTCGGGTATGTTTAAATGTATTAATATAAAACTTATTATTAATTGTATAACAATTTAAATTTAAGTTTTTCGCCTGTGACTATGTCTATTCAGATTCGCAAAGCAATTGCATTTATACGCGTGATAATGGAACGGGGTACAACGGGGTACAACGGGCTAAAATAAATCAAATCGCAAATCGGCGCAATGGAGTAAACACGAGAGTCGCGTATTTGTGCTTTGTGCATGAATGAAGGCAGTGGAGCACATGTGCACACGCGACGCCGTGGCTTGCGGGGGAGGGTACGCGATATCTCAAGAGAGAGCACGTGTGCGCGCCGAACTCGTGCGTTTTCTTATATCACACACCACCGAACGGCGCCGCCGGGCACCACGTGCTCGCATCGCAGAAATGTGTAAGTACCTTGGAGTCCTGCAATTGTGCATCGGCCACTGATAAAGGGGTCGGGGGCGTCGATGGTGCACTGTATGATTGCTTGCCGGCTCCTGAATCATCCCGATCTCCATTCCTGCTTATGCCGGATCCGTCCCGGTCGTCCGGCCTGTCAGCGTACGGTTTGTATTCCAACGGACGTAAATCTGTCACGCTTAATGAGTGTCCTCGTTCGTTCAGTGCGTTCATCGAACGCAATTGATCTATCGATCGATGCACGTGTCCGTAATCGCCGGCAGGTATTTCTGCCATCAGAGGAGAATTGTGATAGTCCAGACCCCCGGCGGGCCTGTAATCAATTGCACGTCCGCCCTCCAGCGTGCACGATGTCTGCCCACCGAACACTGTACGGGACTCCTCCAAAACGTCAACGTCGCGCACGACATGCACTGCGATGTCACGCGTAGCGACTCAACCACCACACACACAAACACTTGTAACTATATAATCTTAATATGTTTATTATTAACGACACCTTCGCTTAAAAACAAAAGGGTCGTCGATTGTTTTTGCTTGAACGATCACCGTCTTAAAATGTTACATGCACTTATGTCAACAAAGCACAACACTTTGATCAGAGCGAACCAACATAAAAAACAAACAAACAAAGAAGCGCAACTTAACCCGTAGAGTAATGCTGCTCGTTCGGAAGCAAAAACTCAACTGGTTTGGCCTCCCAGAAAAAGTTCGGTCCTCAAAGTTAGATCTCGCGCGTCGGGAAAGGCAAAAAATGCGGGGATAGGCGCAGCGCGCACGGTCCGCGCGGAGAGGGGGCCGTCTCTGGCGCGCGGGAAGGGGAACAGAGACACGGGGTGTTGCGTAACGAGAGGACACGCTTAGGGATGGAGAGGTGGAGTACGAGGCAGCGTCTGCCCGAACGGTAGAATGAGACGCTGCATGCACATCTTGCCGGCTTGGCTTGGCTTGGCTTGGCTTGCCCGAACCTCGAGCACATTATAATGCAATTAAGAGACTGTTACACATATACTACGACATCACTGCTATCCTGACATCGACGACTGCCCCGAGCGTCGACCGCCGACACCGACTGCTGGATCAGAGAACTTCGCGTTCGAACCTCCAACGCAAGTCTCCGACGAGGGGGTGTCGTGACACGCACACGACTGCATTGCATCGAGAACACTTCGCTCATTTGAATTCAGTGGGGCCGCTTTTTTTCAACCCGGACGACACGTTCGGATTTAAAAACAGCCGAAAAAATAAAACGCCGATGAATGAGACCGTATCCTCGCGGAGGGCGGTGTTGAATTAAAACAGCAAAATCAATACCCCTAATGACCGCGGGCCCCGAAACGACTGCCCGGTGCTAACTTTTTACAGACAGGGGTGATATTCTGGAGGAATGACAAACGTCGCTTTTTTCTGTATTCGGTTAGATAGTGAAAAGATGGACCCTCCGTAAATGATAAAAAACGCTATAAATGAAGCAATAATATTTACAAGCGCAAGTGGATTTGGGAAAGTGGCAATCGTTTAACCCTTTCGCTTGTAAAATATAGGATGTTGTTGTAAAAGAAACTAACATAAAAACTAGTCTTTATTATTACAATCTGTATGCAGTAACTAGAAAAAAGTTTTTATGGTCGCTTTTATGTTTTACTCGGTTTTTAATCATTGCTATTTATTTAAGCATTTCTAGTTCTGCGTTATAAAAAAATAGTATATGTTTAAATATTTTACAATTTATCATTTATCATTTAATTCCATAAACAAACAATGTCTATATAAAAAAAGTTCTAGGCGAAGTCTATAGCAGACTACATATGCTATAAATGCTGACAATCAAAAAGCACCGCTTTTAAAAACCTGTGTCCTTTTACTCCTTCGTACCTGAACGCACCCGTGATACGTATACTACCTTTTCGATTTCAAATTATCCTTGATTTTGTTTCATAACAGGTGGAAGATACCAATTGCACAAAAAAAGCTTTTTGTATGGATTCGAACGCCGGTAGCATTAATGCATTGCTGGTGTGTGAAATCCTAAGCAAGTTATACAAGAAGCGACATACTAAAAGATCAGAAGAACAAAAAATTATCAAAATCTTTATAGTAAATAAAAATTCAATGGTAAATTGAACTTGGGAATTACTCTGTAATTAGAGTTCTGCTTGTAAGCATTCAATAAATAAAATGCGTACACTCGTTTGTATTCAATCTCGAATATAATATGATTGTTGCAAATAAAAATATTACTTATTATTTTAAAAATTTATAAATATTGAATTTTTTTATTTTTTTTATTCTGCTATATAATTTGCAACAGTCCTTAGTGAACATCTAGTAAGTCAAAAAATAAGTATTTAGTTGAATGATATGTAAATGACAATAGTAGCTTCTACAAATATCATAAAAATAGTGATAAAGATATAAAAGTTATAGCAAATATTGTTACAATTAGACGATTGAAATAATATAAATGCAATAATCTGATTTAAAAGAGTTTCTCGCATGCAGTGCCAGATATTTTAAATGTTTCCAGTCGTTGAATCATGGTTTTCTCGCCTCCGTCGCATTTTTACAGATCGGAGGAGTTACGCTCCACCCAATGTTAAATATATCAATATTGTCGAATCATGGTCGCGTTATTTCTGTTTAATTTACAGCCCGGGCTCCGGGCATCTGGAACTTATTTGACGAAACGAATGAGGGATTTTAACGTTTCACACACATTGTTTAGTACAAGAATTTTTAAAATGCAAGAAACATCAATATCACTCAACTTAATCCATGTTTCAATGTTAATCTCAAACTTACGAAATACTTTATTTCACAAATAGTAATCATAAAAAAATTTAATTAGTAGATATAAAAATTCTTGTAGTTTACTTGACATTTTATTTATTTGATCTTGAATTGATTGCAATGTTACTTATAAACTAGCCGAATGTATAACTTGGCATATATTAATTATTAAAGCAAAAACTCAGGATTAACTAATAGCAAAACTTAATCATGTCAGGCTCTCAGTTTCACATTGGTTTCACATTAATAATCTTGTGTTGAATAAGAAAACAAAATTTATTCTTTTCATACTACAAATAAAATTAGTTGTCTTATTTGAAGTACATCTTTAATAACACTTATGAGTTTTTAAAAAATACTAAAATTCTTGGAATACATTTAAGAGACAATTTGAAATTTTCAGTTTTTTCAATGTGAGATTTTCACATTATTAACGATTTAAATAATAAATTATCAAAAATCTGTTTCATGTTTCGTAGTTTAAAAATGAAAGTAAGCAAAAAGAGCTTTTTTACGATGTATTATTCATATTTTTATTTACATGTAATTTACGGAATTCAAATACAGAAAAATGCAATTAGAATTATATTTTCCCTGTCGTCTATTACTCTACCTCTTGTCGACCTTTTTTCCATGATCTTAACCAATCCTTGCAATTTTCTCATAATTACCCTTTGTTTTATAAAAATATTGCAAATCTGTTTAATTTAAGTTTAAATACCAAATCTAATTATTACAACCCAAGATACAAATTTGCTAAAAGTCCCATATTATAACTCACTTTAGATGGATTGAATATTATGCTTTTCAATGAATTGCTATTGCATAAAAAAAATAGAAAAAAGAAATTTTATAAATTTTTTACTTAAGGTTTTGAAGAACTTTCTTTTAAATCTATTGAAAAATTTATAAGTTATGACTTGATTAGCCTCTAACTACAACTATGTATTATTTTTTCTAAACTAAACTTTAAATAATGTCATTGAGTAAATATTTGTTTTTCAAATTATAGGTATGTAATTTAGTATAGAGTTATGTATTATTAATATAAGTTGTTTTGTGTTTTTGTTTACAGCATTTCAAATAATCACTTACAGACTTATTTTATAACCAGTTATAAGTTTGTCATCAAAGAGTGCATTATGTTTTTTTAATTAACATTATGTTAATTTAATTAACAAAACAATCTATTTATTTATCTGCTGCATAAATATATATGGATCGTTTTTAGTTTCAACAACATTACCTCAATTAGATTGAATTCAAAGAGAAAAAACTCATGAGTCAACATCACCTTTTATAATTCACCGGTCAAAGAAAACTTCTCATATGCTGATAGACGTTTGAGCTAAAAAAAGTTTTAAAACAATAAATCAAGTTTTTGTTCCTCGCACTTCCGCTTTCATCGCAAATCGACGATGGCCACATGTTAATGTTTCAAATTTGAAAATGAATTAATGATCTTTGGGAATTTTATTGAAACATTTGGTTCAATATAACTCGTTCTGAATGAATTGCGACGGCGTACCTGTTCGAGACTCGATAACAAATTTATGTTGGCGCACTACGCAATTCGACAAGATTCGAGAGTTTATGACACCGATATTTATTAGGTATACAATAAACGGTGGAAAACATCATAAAACAGACCAACGTTTATTGAAGGTACACGGACAGATATGCAAACAATACTGAATCGATGAGATATAAATCTGTAAAATTTCTGATCGAATTATATCGCCGTCGCGATGAGCTTTGGATCGAAATATTAATACCAGTCGGTTATAGGTAAATCCATCGCTAGTATAAGACACAAGTTCAACTTGCTTCTTGTAGTTCAATTTAATGAAACAACATTTATAAGTAGAGTAGAGTGGGGCACAAAAGTCCAATTTGACTTTAAGCAATTATTCTGCCTAAATCAAATAAACTATATCACAACACGCAACACGTATCAAACAAATAACTATCAAACTTGTTCAATGTTCAATAAAATTTGCAGTTCATTCCTAATTATAATTAGTGGGGTGCATGGCATCGTGCCTTAAGGCAAATTGCTGGAACTTCCCGTACTGTAACAAAATGTTCGAGAAATATTAAATATTTTCAAATAAATTTTTATAAATACTGTAACAATGTCTTATATAAACTGAATTGCAAAGTTGAAATTATTTGTTTAAAGTATATTAGAACTTTAATCCAAATTAAAATTAACATCTGAATTATTTTCAATATACAAAAAATATTTTTTTTAGAAAAAAAAAATTTGAAACAAAATTTTTTTTTCCAAAAGCAATTATTTTGTTGAAACAAGCAGAAAGTTTTTTGAACTATTCAAATCCGACGCTTAGTTCTTTCAAAAACAACCATTTTTTGTATATTTAGCTCTGTATCTTCGAAAGGATTGAACCTGTCTTTGCCAAAAACTAATCACCCCTTTTTCCCAATCATTACAAATTGAATGCTTTTTAGATCATTCAAATCGG